TTTTTTTTTTTTTTTTTTTTTTTTTTCTCTTCTTGGTATCTTGTATTTTGCCTAAATCAAGTCTTGTCGACCGAAGAGTCGGGCTGGGTTTGGGATGCAACTTGTCGCTCTAGAAGGGAAGAGAAATCGGTCCGATGTTAGCGTCATGGTAATTACGGGGATATAAAAATAAAAATAAATACGGGGTGAGATGACAGTACTCCGTACTTCCCGGTCGGAAGGAGAAAAAGCAAAAAGAGAAAGACAACGAGAAAACTAAAATGCCGCATGCATGACTTACCTAAATCCCTGATTCGCTGACGCAACATCTGATTTTCTCGAGAAAGCATGGCTGCTTCTGCCTGATAGAAAGCACACTCATCTCTGCTGTTACTCCGAGACGCGGCGTTGTCACTGGTGCCCGCAAGTGACTCCAGTCCTTCCGGGGGTCCGCGCAGATGGTGCAGGGAAGATTGCGGTCGGAGACTAGGGGAGGCGGCCTGACTAGATGGCCGAGACTGCCGACGACTGGAGAACGAGGGGGATACTAATTGGGTGGAAGTTCGGCCACTTGCCGTGGGGAGTGGCGGGATTGGTGGGAATGGCGTAGAATCGGAATGTGGGGTAGTCTCGTCGACAATAGCGGTTCCAGAGGACTGCTGTTGTTGCTGAAGCTGCTGGAGTTGGGTCTGCTGGGACCGAATCAACTGTAGGAGTCGGTTCTGATAACCAAAGTTAAACAATCAGCGGTGCCGATGATTATTACCCCAAGGGTAGCTCTTAAACGAAAAAGTGTCAAACTCAGAAGTGAACAGGGGGCCTGTCATACCACTTGAGCTTCTTGTTCCTGCTCGAGCTCCTGATGCAATTCTCCCAGTGAGGGTGTGCGATGGTGGTGGTGTGGATCGCCGGTGGTGGCCAAGACCGGACTGCCGCCGTTGCTCGCACGGGTCCTGGAGGAGGACCGAGGATCGGATTCGCCCACGGTAGAGTCGGCCATATTTGAATTCAAGCCGGCCAATGCTGAACGTCGATGGTCCGAGATAGACAGACGACTGCGCGGTGAGCTACGCGGGGGAAGAGACGGTTCGGTGGAAGGATCGTTCATGTCACAGGGAAATGAGGTGATGTCAAGCTGTGGATACGGTAGATAACAAAGGCAAGACTGCTTTCCTGGATATAGAAACCGATGAATAAGAGGAGCAAGAGTAGTGAGGTTGATGAAGGTGAACCGGGCAGGTTGTACTCTGTACGGAGTATGTCGAAGCTGGAGACTGACACAGCCGGATCCGGAAGGCGGTCGGGCACGGAACCGAAAACAGGGACGGAAACCGGCCGCGCCGGAACCGGCGAGGAAAAGTACTTGTACAGAATATGGCCATGAACAGCATTATTATCTCGATCTATAGAGTATGTGCTCCGTAGCGCAGTCCGTTTCAGGAAAGTCACATGACGTAAGATGCCGGTCAACTCCGAGTCATCCACCTGTATATTCCCTGTCAAAGTTTGCTGCAAGACGTCAATTTGCTGGTCCCCGTGACTTGGATGGTCCATGGAATCTTTTACAACCCGGTGCAACCACTGAATTTGACATACAATGCATTTCTCTAGTAATTTATACGATTTAGTCAATGAAGTATTATGTAATGTGTACTTGTTGACCTAGTCCGTCTCTGCTCCCAAACAGGGTAATCCGGAGATGCATCGGACCGCCTACGCCAAGTCCGGAGTGGATCAATGCGGGTTGGGGTTGGTCTTTGCCCGTGGGGAGGCAATAATGGCACTAACCAAACTCTGTTAGTCTGGCTTTGGCCCTTGCCATCCGTTTCTCTTGTTCGCCTTCCCGTGCTTGCGTTCCGTACTCAGAATGCCGTAAATTCGAAAGAAAACATCCGACGTGGCAAAGAAGTACTCTGTACCTGGAGGCTGTATGTTCGGCATACCGTATATGCTTGTTTAAGTTACATTGTCCCTTTTTCAGTGTTTATCTGTAGTACTCTGACTATAACGCGACAATAGCATAGGGCTACCGGCGTATTCTATTATACCAAACCTCGTACTGTACACCCCGGAGTGTGTCTGTAATAATGACCTACAGTGGACCGCCGTCGGCCAACCGTCGTATCGGCATGGGGCTGTTCCCCGTACTTTCCCTATCGGGTAAGCAGGTATCATTCACCACTGTTCCTTCCCAAATTGTTTGAATTCACCCGCTTCGGGCTGTATTTATATACGTGCCTTCCCCAACGTTCCTTTTTCTTCTCTTCCCTTCCCATCTTTCTTACTTCTCTCTCTCTCTCATTGCTCACTGTCTTCCTTTCCCCCTTTTTTTCCTTTTCACTTCTCATCGTTCCTGATTGTCTTCTTGGAACTTCCTGGTTCTTGTCTCTGATTATCAGAGATAGCCAGTGTGTCTCTTTTCTGCTGGCTCTGTTAGCTCTGTGAGCCCTCTCTTTTTGTCTGAGTCTTTTTCATCTTGAGACTGTCCCGAATCCATCGGTATGTCTCCAACTATCCCCTCGCTTTTCCATCTCTGGTTCTCTGTCTAACTGGTTCGAATTGACTTTAGGTGCGAAACCATGGCGGGTGATCCTAAACTCTCCTCGGAGGAGAAGCCCCGCGACAGCGAGACTTCCTCCTCTCATGTGGACGCCATTCTCAACAACGCCCTCAAGGAAGACAATGCCGCCGTTGATCCCTCCCACCCTAATCAGCGTTCGTCTCTGGACAAAGTTCAACGTACCCCGTCCGACCCCAAGATCGAGCTCACCGAGGCCGACTGCTACGACCAGCTTGGCTACTCCTTCTCTTCGTTAAAAAAGTGGACAATCATCATGGTCATCTTCATGGTCCAGGTCTCGATGAACTTCAATACTAGTCTCTACTCCAACGCCGTCGGGGGCATTTCTGAGGAGTTCAACGTCAGCCAGCAGGCTGCTCGTTGTGGTGCCATGATCTTCCTTGTCTTGTACGCCTTTGGCTGTGAATTGTGGGCTCCGTGGAGTGAAGAGCTTGGCCGCAAGCCTATCCTCCAAGCCAGTCTCTTTCTTGTCAACATTTGGCAGATCCCTGTTGCTATCGCTCCCAATTTCGCCACCATCATAGTTGGTCGGGCCCTGGGTGGTCTTTCGTCCGCCGGTGGCTCTGTCACACTTGGCATGATTGCCGACCTGTGGGAGGCTGATGACCAGCAGTATGCTGTGGCCTGCGTGGTCTTCTCGTCTGTTGCTGGTTCCGTCATCGGCCCTGTCGTTGGTGGTTTCGTTGAACAATTCCTGCCCTGGCGCTGGAACATCTGGATCCAATTGATCTTTGGCGGTTTTGTCCAAGCTTTGCACTTCTTCTTCGTGCCTGAAACAAGAACTAGCATTATGCTCGACAAGATCGCCAAGCAAAAGCGAAAGAGCGGCGAGGACCTTAATGTTTATGGCCCCAACGAGCTGGTGCCCTACAGGGAGCGCTTCTCGGTCCGTGAGGTTCTTGCCACATGGATTCGTCCGTTCCGCATGTTCTTGACGGAGCCCATCGTCATGACTCTTTCGCTCCTCAGTGGATTCAGCGACGCTCTGATTTTCATGTTCATCCAGTCTTTCGCCTTGGTGTACGGACAGTGGAACTTCAGCGCTTGGGCTGTTGGTCTATCCTTCATTCCCATCCTTGTCGGGTATTTCATCGCCTATGCATCTTTCATCCCCGTGTTCCGTCGGAACAAGGCCCAGCGTCTTCGCTGGCCGGACGACGAGCGCACGCAGTACGAATCCCGTCTTTGGTGGTTATTGTACACTGCACCCTGCCTGCCCATTGGTCTCTTTGGCTTCGCCTGGACCAGCTTGTCGAACATTCACTGGATTGGAAGCATGATTTTCGCAGCCATTGTCGGTATCGCCAACTACGCTATTTACATGGCCACCATTGACTATATGATCTGTGCCTACGGACCCTACTCCGCCTCGGCGACTGGCGGCAACGGCTTTGCCAGAGACTTTTTGGCTGGTGTTTTGACCGTGCCTGCTACTCCTTTCTATCAGAGTATGTTTTATCTAGCCCGTTTCCTTCCATTTAATTTTCCGTTACTAATACATTTGTACAGACATTGGCGGCAAATATCATCTTGAGTATGCGTCTACTATTCTTGGTAAGTTTTTTTTGCTACTTTTCTGCCCTCGACCGTCTTTTCTGACAATTACTCAGGCTGTATTTCTTTTGTTCTCGTGCTTGCCGTGTACGTCGTCTACTGGTACGGACCAGAACTTCGTAAACGCTCGCCATTTGCCCAACAGCTGTCGGACGCCCGTGCGGAGATGCATCAGCACATGGCTCAGGGACAGGGAGTTTCCCAGCTCAACTCTCGTGCCAACTCGTTTGTGAGGTCGCAGCAGAACCTCCGCATCCGACAGACCTTGGGAAGTCGCCAGAACAGTTACACCGCATCACGGGGTCCCTCCCAAGCCAACTCTCGCGTTGCCTCCCAAGCCAACTCCCGTGTTGCCTCTCGTCGCAATTCCCTGTCTTAAAAAAAAAAAAAAAAAACACTTCAACTAGAACGTTAGATCCTTGCATGATGACATGCTGGTTGACACGATTACGATTGAACGACCATCAGACGACGCTCGAGGATACGAGTTTGTCAATGGAGGCATGAAGTGTTTCTTTTTTTACCCTTTCAAAGGAACATCATCTTGTGCATTTGAGTGGAGGAAAGGGACTGTTTTAAAACTTCATACCCCAATGTATTGCTAGTTTCTTCTTTTCTTTTCTTTGTCTCTGATCTGATTTGCATGTGGGTGCTTAGTATTGAACCAGAGACCTGGATCGATGTGCACCCCAATGCCTCATTCTTCTCTCTTTTTGACTGGCTCAGAAAGAGAAAGCGAATTGAGCCACTGGCTAGACCAGTGGTAGCGCCTCTCTTCTGATCATTATAACTGGGTAATTTTTTTTTTTTCTATTTGTGATGCAGATGTACTTTGAAATGGCGGCATTCTGCGGTGGTGTTCGGGCGCTTTGCTCGGGACGGCCCTTAGAGTAAAAGCTGGATCTACTATTGTCTTTTTTGCCTTTTTTTTTTTTTTTTTTTTTATACAAAAATTTATTTTGTCCTCTCATCGTAGGATAACTGAAGTACTGTGTAGTTACTTGTACGGAGTAGACGGAGAGTCGCGTGGTGGGACCGCCAGATGATCCGTACCGATGACCTCATGCGTCTTCTGCGGCCATGACAGTCGGGATCTTGTCTCATACGGATTGAGCAGCTGCAACACATTATTGCCTCTTATAATGCAGCGTGGTATCCTTCAACTCTCACGGCTTGCTCGTACCCAGGCAGCGCAGCCACTTCCCCGCGTGTTCTGGACTGCGACGCGATCTTGTCCTCTTCGCGTTCCCACTGCTTCAACTTTCGTTGCGACACATTCACCAGTCCGGATGGCTTCGTCGACCGGTCAGCCGTCTACCATTCGATTTTCCGAAGGAGAAGATACAGCACAGGTAACGGCAGGATTGAACTCGCTACGACAACGCGGATGGCAGCTGGACCAGGATGGAATGGGAGTGACCAAGACCTTTTATTTCAAGGCGTACTTCAAGGCAGTGGTATGCTCTCTCCCTTTTCCTCCCTTTTCTTTTTCCCTTCTCCTTTTCTTCTAAAGCTGATCGACGACTAGAGTTTTGTGAATGTGATTGCGGCTGAGAGTGCAGCCAAGAAACACCATCCGACTATCACCGTGGTATGTGTTCCCTAGTATTCCCTGCATTTATTGCCTCCCGGGTTGCACGTTCTGACCAATGATGGTATCCTAATTAGAGGTTCGGCTCGGTCGATGTACACTGGACGACGCATAACCCGCGGGGCCTCTCTCAGAAGGATGTGACCTTGGCAGAGCATTGCGAGAACGGAGCAGATTTGATAGGCGCCGTGAAACAAAGCGAGGGGCAGAAGTGCTATTGAAAATATATACATATATATATATATTTTTTTTTTTGGAATTCATTGTTTGATGTATAAATTTTGTTTTCTTTTTCTTTCTTTTTTTTTTCTTTTTTTTTGGTAGAACTTTTTTTTTTTTTTTGAGAAACCTACTTGTTCGGTATTACATACTGAACATGGACCTGGTCCACATCACAGTGGGTAAAGCATGGAGCAAATCTTGACTCCATCCACCTGGGCTGAAATCTCATTTTCGAGTTGGTCCGGGAGCATTGGAGAGAGAGATTTCATTTCGGATACCTATCGGGTTATCCGTTCGCTGGAGAACTCCGGTCTTGATATACATATATATATCGGCGTGGATTTTTGTCCGGACAAAAGGGGTAAAAGGCAAGTATATGGCCCCTGAGTTATACGTCTCGTGCACCGATGATCCCTCGTGCTGACAGATTGATTAACAGGACATTGACAAAGCGAGAGAAGGCAGCATACAGTATGTTTTTTGACTCCGGACCCAAACAATGCCACCCATCGGTTCACGACCAGGTTCCTGACTCGAACCGGACGGCGCTCTCTTATTTAATACGTCCGTATTCGCTCTACCAGAAGTCTTCCGAGTATACACCGTCTGCACCTCGAACCTTGTCTGCTCCACTCAGGGGTTCGCGATTGTTTCGTCTGCTTCAGGAATGGTTTCAGGATGTCGGGATCGCTGCTCGAAAGAGGAAAAGAGTCAAAAGAAGGCAGAAATTTTTGCACCAGGAACAATTGCTGGGTGTCTTGATGTTTTTGACTCCTGTCGTCGTGTCGTCCGACTCGAGTCGAGAGCTGGCTCTGCGATGATCCGGCATTTCTTCACGCTCCACTCGGCGGCACTAACGAGATTAATTCGAATTAAAGCAAAGACAAAAAAGTACAGTGAACGGAGCACTCAACGGTCTCCCGATCAGCACCTCGTGCGCGCATTTCCCTCTTTTTGCCCTTTCTTTCTCGCGTCCTCTCCTCTCTCTCTCTCTCTCTCTCTCTCTCTCTCTCTCTCTCTCTCTCGCGCGCGCGCGCACGTTCTCTTCTTCATCTTCCGTTCTTTGTCTTTTAATTCTTTTCCGCTCGTTCGTGGCCAGTTTCCCCGTCTGTCAGCTGACGCAGGTCGTCTCTCGCTCGGGAATCTATATTACCTGCTTTTTTAAATATTAATATCCCAGTTTAACCTATCATTCTTAATTAATATTTTCGCCCCTCCAGGTGGGCTCTCTCGGACTAGGCGTTCGTCTAAGGATTATCAGGAGTGATCTCCCTTCAATCTCCGTCGTCTTGCTCTCCCGCGCTTCCATTCTCTCTTTTCCACCTTGTTCGATTCAGAACCTCGAGTGGTTCGGCAGTTTTTTTGTCGCCGTCAAGTTTGTGCGGCGCGTGTCTTTTCCGGGTCATCGAGTGACGTTTGTCTCATTCAGAAGGGCCATTCATCCTGCATGACTTAATTTAATTACACCGGTCAACTACGAGTCACCGCTCTCTCGCGCATACGCTCCTTCTTACTATTATTATTTTTGTTTTCTATATTTTGACGCCTGCGATTTTTTGTTTTATATGATACCCATCCTTTCGTCTGCCAATCCAATCGAATCTGAGTTGCAATTGTGTGTGGACGCCGGGGTTCTGGAATTACACTATACAGGCAAACAGTGTTGGAACGTGGAGGATCAGATAAGATGGCCTTGAATATACAACCCCCTCACCCTTCGGTCAGCGAACGCAGAGGTCAACGACTGGCACCACTTCAGACCGACTTCGGCCAAACCAATTTCAGTCGTCCAACAGCCCGTCCTGCGCCGGCCAACCGCCCTCGACCAAATGAATATGTCAGCGCCAATGGTGAGGCCATGGAGAAGGTTCCCTTGAATCCACCAAAGCACCAGTCGTCCAAGTCCAGCTTGCGCAGCCTCTTTGGCCGCGACAAATCAGCACGCAAGCCTGCCCATGACCACAAACTTGCCGAGATCGACGAGGTGCATCCCACGGGCACCAATGCCAACATCGACGCCAGTACCACCAAGATTAATCTTAATAACAACAACCACACAACAACAGTGACACAACCCGAAATGCCATTATCGCCAAACTTCTGCAACACACCCAAGACCGCGATCTCGACGCCTACCCTCGTCACCTCGCCCACGTCCGCAGCCGAGCTGCCTACGCGAAACAAGCTTCCCCCGTCCAAACCGCCGCCCCCGAAGCCAAGCGAGGAGGATAAGCCGCCGGCCCGGGATCTGGGATGGAAACCACCGCCGCTGTTCCAGGCTTATCCGCAAGCCATCAAGCATAGCACCCTTCCGGTCCCGACGCTGTCAGCTGATGCTATCTTACGTGCGCATGCTACTTCCAAGGGCGGCGGGTCGCGCGAGGACGAGAATGTGGGTGCCTTGTCACAGCAAAAAGAAGTCACACGCGAAGAGGCTGCGGCTAGAAAGAAGAAGGAGGACAAGGAAAGGAGGCATCTGCGGTCACTATCGGAGACAATTGGCAAGACGGAGTGGACTCAGAAGGTTTACGTCGTGACTACTTCGGGATATATTCTGCAATACTCTGGGGATGGGAAATATGACCGACTGCCTGAGAAAATGCTCCTTCTAGGCCCGAAGTCGGTGGCATTTGCTAGTGACGCTATCCCAGGGAAGCATTGGGTCTTACAGGTGTCGCAAGGCCCAGATGGATCTGAAGCCCCTGCCCCTACAGATGTGCCGCGTCCGTTGCTGACACGATTGGGTTTCCATCGGTCGTACACACGGAGATTGACTCAAAGTTTTCTTCTGACCTTCAACGATCCCGACGAATTGAGTTCTTGGCTGCTTACCGTTCGAGCCCAGATCGAAGCTCGCGGGGGTAAAAAGTATGTTTCGGAACGGGTGTTTGATGATGGGATGGAGCAACAGTTGCGGTCGAAGACAAGTGTGCGACAACTTGTGAAGAGGGACCCTAATCGATTCTCGAACCTGTACTTGCAACCGCAGAATGAGAGTCAGTCAGAGGGGGATTCCCGTCGGAGTTCCTATGTGTCCAATAGCAACCGCCATTCGATGGTCTCCACGGCCGCTACTGATGTGGGAGCACCACAATCCGCTGCCAATGGTGCCTCTGGGCGTTTCTATGCTGCCACTACCGCCACGACGACGACATCGGGGACGACCACAACGGCGACGACAATTCCCCCGCGGGATGCTACTATTTCACCTGCGATGCGCAATCATGGTTCAGAAAATGTCACGTCACCTCCCCCGCGGGAAGCCACGCTGAGTCCCGTCCTGACAAGCCCGAAAAAACGACGATCGATGGCATACATGTCCACGCAGCCAGCGGAACCGTTCCAACCGGATGTCTCACAGTTACCTCGATCTCAATCGACGGCACCTGATCCCTCTGTTCGAAGTACGTCACCGCCAGCGCCCAATTTCAGCGTTCCCTCTTTCAGCAAGCGCTTCGCAGCCAGGACCGCAATGAATAATATTCCTCCGCTGCAACTGGCATCCATTCAACAACCGGATGACCAGAACGAGGATGACTTTGACGTCAATGCCATCGCGTCATTCCCGTCTCCCCCACAGTCTCCTGTGCGCAGTCTCTCCAGCATGAGCCGCAACGATCCAAGCGATCCCCATGGAATAGTCTCCCGCCAGAGCAGCATGAACCGAAGGCGGCCATTGCGAGTATCCCCCTCCCAGGATTCCCTGGTGACATGCGAATCGACAACACAACAAAGCTACGAACGGAAACCATCAACGGCCATAACTCGCCCCCCACGAGGCAGCATATCAACAGTCAACAGCACACCACGCCCCTCAAGACCAATAAGCATCGTCTCCTCCGTCGACGCCGTCTCAAACGGCGACGTCCAATCCCCGCAATCACCACCAACCCACTCAACTCGCTCCCGCCGCGACCCCCAAAAGAGCCGCACCTCCGTCCTATACCCAACAAACAACACCACAAACGTCACCTACTCCTACTCCACCATGCCCAACGTCTCGCGCCGAAAATCCATGCCCGGACTCGCAGTCGGACCCCCCTCAGTCCCACCACCAAACTGCCCCCTCCCCAAGATCCCCTCACCGGTCCCCGTTGACCCGTCTGCTGCGGACACGGCGCTTCCAATGTCGCCGCGGTCATGCAAAAGTCCGCCGCCGGTAAACGGGCATGGATTAAGGAAGATGAAGGAGAGGAAGAGCTCTGTGGGGGTGACGGGGCATTCGCATTCGCATTCGTCGCGGTTTTCGTTGGGGATGAGGAGTATTTCTTCGTCGGCGAGGTAGTGTCAACTTCCTTTCCCTTTCCTTCCCTTTCCTCTTGTCGTTCCTTTGGCTTTGGGCTATCATATTATATTTAACATATACCCTCCTTCACATTCTTCATTATATTTCATTTTCTCTATATGTTTTTTTTTTTGAATTTACTGGTTTGTTTTCTCATTCTTGATGCATTTTGAGGAGTCCACGACTTGATACACGGACTGACTGGATTTATCATTTTCATTTTCATTTTATATACCTTCTACAGCGATGCATTGATTGTCTTTCATTTTCTTTTCTATGTCTCATGACTTCTCTGGAGGATGGATTTATTCATTGATTCATTGAATGACTGATCGAGTGTATTGTATTATATTCATTTCATGGCATGCTGGACGTATGTATATATCTAGACGTATCTTTTGATAAAAAAAAAATATATATATATATATTCTTTAGGTGGATTCATTCTTGTTCGAGTTTGCATTTCGCTCGTCTTGTACCATGGCAACAATATCATTACTTTGCTGAGAGGTGGAGTATTTGTCTACATTAAATTTTGACCATTCTAACCCTAGAACACATTGAACTTGAAGAATATAACGTAACAACATACAAAACCCGATAAGCGACCCAGTCATGCCAGAAACGAAGAAAAGATGCAAACGGTATCCGATAACGAGTCGCTGTTTAGCGTGGGAAATGAAGAAAGGGGTAAGTAAAACACGGAAATGAAGAATATGAAAACGCAATTACTCGTCCGCCTCTTCCACCTTCGGAGCTAGATCGCGCTTGACAGTGCCTGAAGTATCCGTGGCTGGTGTCGCAGTAGTCGTGGCGGATGTTGTCTCGTTGGCGGCTGTCGAGGGTGCTTCGCCTTTGACGGATTTCTTGGACTTCTTTTTCTTGGTCTGTAACATATTAGTTAGCAAGGACGAAATCATGATTTCAAAGTTAAAAAGGTCATACCTCTTGCCATCCCCACAAAGGCTTGAAACTGTCAAAGAACCCAACATCCTCGAACAAGTTCGGGAAGAGCCACAGACCAGGTGGTACGACAAGCACCGTGATGCAGAACAGAATCAGACGGAAGATCGACATGGCGAAGAACAATCCCAGCAAGCCCATCATGCCCACACTCAGATACCACACTCCCTGTCGCAACATCATAGGCCACAGCGGGAAAAGAACCACAGCGAAAATACCAGCTACAACGGCCGCGGCCATAGCCTTCTGCTTCCATTGCGGTCCTTCGTAGAGCCAGACGTAGTGCATCATCGAGTCGGTTTCTTGGTGCTGTTCGATTTTCACGGTCCAGAGTCCCTTCACTCGGTTCTTGGGCTTCGCGTGGTTGTGGCCTGCGTGCGGGTCGACCTTGGAGACTCGGAGAGCGAGGAGCGAGAGCGGGAGGAGCTTGAAGACGTTCTCTGCGGAGGCGCGGTCTGTCACAGGGGGGAGGAGGGAGTTTTTCTTTGCGGCGGCTTTGGCATAGGCGGGGGATTCAATCGCGCGAATTGCACGTTTCACTTTACCTCAGTTAGCATCCAACTGTTTTCTTTGTTCCCTCACCAGGGCCGATATACCTTTGAACATATCCTTCCGCTGACCATCCATAATACACGTCCTAGGCTTGAGATTCTGCGACCGCAAAAATTGCGCAACAGCAACCGCCTTCGGATCGGGCGGGTTATCAGGATTCACCGGCACCTGCGTAGTAGTCTGCTGCTGACCCGGCTGCTGCGTCGGAGGCCGTGTTGACGGTTGACCCTGTTGCTGCAGCTCCAACTGTTTCTGGTGGGCGGCGATAGCGCGCGCTCTGAGCTGCGCAAGATACTGTTCCGTGGTAAGGCCATGCTTTTGTGCCTCTCCGGCCAGTTGCTCGCGCTGTTGCTGGGCGAACTGCTCGGGGGTCAGTCCTCGTTTGGCGGCTTCGGCGGCGAACTGCTGTTGCATGGCAGCGATTTGCTGGGGGGATGGGCCGCCGGGGGTGGCCATGGTGGGAGGATGGTTTAGGACGGGGCCTAGTTTGGAGAGGTTTTGGTGGTGAGGAATCGGCGTTGTGGAAGGAAAGACGTAGTGGTCCTAATTAAAGACTCGGGTCGATCTCAGCGATGGACGGAGAAGTGGCCAGATGGTGTTTGCTTTGTTTGTCTTGTGTTCCGAATGGGGTAAAGGCGGTGCTCCGCCTTGTCCGTCAAGGCTGAATTGACGACTTCTCTTCATCGCACTGCCGGATTATCCCCATATTGTTATTATTGTTGCGATTACTATTATTATATGCTCCCGATGGTACGGTGATTGGCAGATTGGACAATATCTGCGATGTTGCTTGACTGCGCCCCATAGCCCCTATCTGAGAGTCTGTCCATGACCCTGAACTATGACCCTGATAGCTCCCTTGTAAACGCTACATGGGTGGCTACGTTGCTGGCAAGTCTCTCTGCTTCTCCCTTGCATATATGCTCTAATATTGACTTTATTCCCCATGTAGAGCGAGAGAGATGCGGCTGGTCAAATCCCCATCAACTTCGTGACGCACCCGGCCGTGTCGCTAAGGGCAGCATGTTTCGCAGACAACGTATTCGATGAGACTTCTACTGCGAAATGCATATCAAATTTATTGGCAGTAGGGTATCGTCGGCTGCTGGTCGATCTTTATTGGTCCGCCGAGCGACGATCATGGTCGTTCTGTCCGGTGTCTGTCCCTGCAAACGCAGCGGCAGATAGCTCCATAACCGCTGTGACTAGCTCAACCGGATCGCAACTATACCAACTGGGTTCATATCAGTGCTCTGAAGATCTTGATGTCTCCGGCTTGATTGATATACTGCGTGGCTACTTCGAAAATAACACCTCTCAGCTGAATGTATACCTTTCGTTTGTCATATTCAGCCTCCATGGGGCTGCCAGTGCATCCGCGCCCGATGAGCCGGCTCCAGCGGTATCTGGAGCGCAGTTACCGAGTAACAATGAACGCCTTGGCGATCTACTCGAAGACAGATTAGGCGAATATATCTATAATCCGTCGCAACTTGCAGAAGAACGGAGCAATCTGAATAATTCGTGGTATCGGGTGACCGATGGTTATGAGCCTATCACGGAGTATTTCACGATCCATGAGGATGCAAAGGGTAGGCAGAGTACCCCAGACGGCTGGCCATGCTCGAAGTACGTGCAGCTTGCAAGAGAACGAAGGATCCTTTTTGGGTATGGGGATATCGATCCACAGATCGAGGGTTATGACCTGGGTAGCGACAGCGTGCTGTTTCCTCCGTCTTACTTGACCGATTTCGTGGATGTCTCCTCAGCGGTTGACGGCAGTCTGGACACGGGATGTCTCTACGACTCTGACGCTTATCTGGTCTCTCAGGTTAATTCGTCATGGGCAGTGTCGACTCGAATTCCAGTTCCATCGACAAACAGCTCAGTGACACTGGGGCAATTGTCAAGTATAGTCACAAACCTAACAGCTTGCGGCCTATCACCCAACCTCAACGATACCCTCCTCAACGCTACAGCGGACAACGACGTTGAAACATACAGAAATATATCATTATCTGCCTCCTGGGCCTGGTCCGCCGGACAACCGCAAGATTCCATAGACGACGAAGACGGCGATCCCAAGGAACGATGCGCAGTAATTGACCTATCAACCAACGGTCACTGGGCAGCCATCGGCTGCAGTGAAGACCGCTACACAGCCTGTCGCGTCAACCACCTCCCATTCACCTGGAAACTGTCCATGGAGAAGACATCCTACGGAAACGCTGGACGCACCTGTCCCGAAAACACCACCTTCTCTCTTCCGCGCACGGGGCTCGAGAATACCTACCTCTACCGCTATCTCCTTTCTTCGTCAAACGGTACCTTGGACACTTCCTCCTCAAAGGACAGTATGCGCCAAGTCTGGATAGACTTTAACTCGTTGGATATCGCGTCTTGCTGGATCAGCGGTGGTCCTGATGCTAATTGTCCGTATGCGTCGGATCCGCAACAGTTGGAGAAGCGGACGGTTCTGGTTGCTACGATTTGGGGGATTGTCATCTGTGTCGTTGCAGCGTTGATGTTGTTCGTCAAGTGTAATGCTAATCGGCGGAACTCGCGACGACGGAAGAGGGTTATTGAAGGGTGGGAGTATGAGGGTGTCCCGTCTTAATGTATAGTACATACGTTGGTCTTTCGATAGTGACAGACATGTTTAAAAACCTCTAGACTGCTTTTTAGAATGCTTTTTTCCTTCACTCTAGAGACATCATGGACCGGATTGGAACATTCACTGCTTTGGGTACTATATAACAACGTCGCTTCATTTTTAACTTCCTCCATCTCAATAATTTTATTGATCTCCCGGGCTCTTAAATTGTCATTATAGGCCATGACGAGTGATAACCCAAACATTCAGGTCTCTAAACACCATGCTATTGCTAGTTGCTTCTGCGCTTCCAGTATCATAACTTGATATGTCGTCGCACTTGTCTTCCCGGTCTATTATCAGAAATAAGCTTGTTCTCACCTGCCAGGACAATGCCCAGAGCTCAGTCATTCCTGGAGTCTGCCTTCCGACGGGGGCTTTCACCCTCTACAGAAGATTCCCTTACACAAAACAACTCATCTAGCCAACCCGAATCCGTTGATATTTCAGGTGCAAAACAAACCACCTTGTTCGGCACGGCATTTCTCGAGAATTGTGTCTCGGGCGGCCCTGATTCTCTGAACCCGACATCCTCTCTAGCACCCGGGACAACCTCTATCATGTCCACAGAGACACACAAGGGAAGAATTATGCCGTTCCTGCCCCCTCAGGGGTCTAAGCCTGACATGACGATCGGGTTTAAGTAGAGGGAATTCCAGTATTGTCGAGAAATAGACGAACTTGGACCATGCTCAAAACCTGTTTTGCTTTCCCCGTTTATACCCCCGAAACGAAGGGTTTCCAGAGCACATATTTTTCGAAGATACAAAACCAGCACAACAGTGCGCATATGTTGCGAAGCCTCACCTTGTGGTCAAATGCAAACGAGCCGGATTGGGAGAGTCTTTACAATCCCATCACTATTCCAGTATCGGTCTTGAGGAATAATATAGCGATTCATGCGCACTGGGCAGTAATAAACCATGGAGTCATCAAAGCATTTGGCCATGTCGAGCAATTCGCCTGGATTGGAGCAGGTTTCCCGCTGGACTCCGTGTGCATCATTCTCTTGCTCGGTACCCTTTTTCAACGCCTTCAACATGAAATGGATCTATATTGCCACGGTGGTACTCTTTGAGGTCGGCTCGGCTGTTTGCGGCGCTGCTCCGAACATGAACGCTCTGATTGTCGGTCGTGTTATCGCCGGCGCTGGAGGCAACGGTATTTACCTTGGCTCCCTGCAATAGTTTGCCGTCATGACCGTGGAGAAGGAACGTGGTCTTTACATGTCCCTCATCGCTGTGTTCTGGGCCCTCGGAGCTGTTTTGGGACGGCGCGCATTCCCGGGTCATCTGCTGTGGGATCGTGCACAGGTGCTCCTATACGTGGTGACAGCAGCTGGCACTACGTCTCTTTTCGTCACCTCCTACTACCTCCACATCTACTTCCAGTTTGTGAATAATGACGAAGCCCTCATGGTGGCCGTGCGCCTGCTCCCCTTCGTCATCATCGCCGTCACGGTGAACCTTGTCTCAGGAACCTTCCTCCACTTCATCAAGATTTACAAGATCATCTACATCATCGCCAGCGTCTTCTTGTTAGTTGGTGGCGGCCCGTTGGTGGTCTATTTGGGCCCCAGTTCGACAACAGGCACTATCTATGGCTTGACGATCCTCGCTACTGTTGGCACTGGTCTGTCCATAGTGACCGGCTATACAGTCGCCACGCTGACCACAAACCCCAAGGATGCGGGCGCTGCACTCAACATGCAAAATGTTTCTCAGATCGGTGGACAGGTCATTGCGCTGGCCGTCGCGGGGCAAATCTATCAGTCAGAAGCCTTCAACAACCTGTCAGCAGTCCTAGCCGGTAATGGCTTCTCGCATGAAGAGATTTCGGGCGCGGTGGCTGGTGCGCAGAGCACCTTGTTTGAGACGTTGGATGGCGCGCTGCGGGACAAAGTAGGTATGGCCGTTACGCAGGCAATGCAGATGACCTTTGTGCCGACCCCTGTTTCCGGAGGCATCATGTTCATCGCTGCGTTGTGTATGAAGTGGGAGAAACTCTTGGGGCAGGCTGTTGCTGTCGATGGTTAGAAGAGCATAGGTAGGTAGCAGTATGTACTAGAGAATCGGCAATGCTATAGGGGTGTTAAGTTTAGGACCACCTTTTCGGACCACGACCCACTACTTAGAAGATCATAGAAATATCAAAGCTTCCTTATGATAGCCATAGTAACAAACCTTTAACAATCTCAAGGTGCGTAACATGAGAAATTTCAATCTGGCAGCTGTTGGGGGGTGAGCATCCGCTCATCATAAATGGTTCATTTGGTCCAACGGTAGAACTCTGACACAGAATAAGCGCACCGAAGCCAGATATAACTATTGGGTTCATACAAGGGAGCATGGTATTTCGCACCATCGACCTTGTCACGCCAGACATAATGCAGACCTGAGCTAGTCTTCCATCCTTTACCCTAGAAGCAAAGGGCATACAGAGTAACTGCTTTTTATCTTACAAAACCAGCACAATTGTGCACACATGTTACGCTGCCTCCGCGCTGCTTGCGTTCGAAAGCTTCGACCAAGTAATGATGATAACCACGTACATCTGATAGGTGCCTATGGACTCTCAGCGGATGAAGAAGCCATACACATCCCAGCACTGCTCATAGTATGCAGAATTGTGCCATTTGCTGCACACAATTAAAGAGGGAACAGCCTATCTTTACCATTTTCATTAGAAGGAGTATGAAGCATACTAAATGCGCAATGGTGTGTCAAACCACTCCCTTTGGTAGACGCACCCTTGAACCAGACGTTACGATCGGATTTAAGGAAGCCCGTTTTTAGTCTTATACAAAACTAGCAATTCTTGGGGACTGTGAAACTTTGCATGGTCAAAAAAACAGTACTCGACATATTAAATCGAGGACAAGGATTATTGGCGACTGCTCAATACGTGTTTCTAGGATATCTAGTCATGGCATGCCTATATATCTGCTGTCATAAATACATTTATTAGGCTGCAATACACTCTTAAATTCTGCCTCTAGATAAATATCCTGATGCTTGTAACAAAATCATTACCTTTTCCTAGGCAGTAGTAGGCCGACCGATAGTTGAGTCCAGGTTAGTTAGCGGGTCTGCTCTTGTCAAGAATCACAAGATTAACAAAACAGCAGTCTTACCCTCCAGAACCATGATAGCAAACCATCCTTCCCATGAGAATTCCCTTGAACCTTTTATGGCACACTTTCAGAGAGCGATGCTCACCGTAGAGAATCTGGTATCCCTTGAGGACTGCTCCCCCGACAAGCCGACTTCGACTACCTCATCCTTCTCCTCATCGTCGTCGTCGGAAACCGCAACGAACAATCACGCACACAGACCCTAGGTTTAACTATGAACTAGAGTGCCGGAATGTCTTCGCCGATTTGGACTTTGACTCCAGGCACCCACCCCCAGTTAACTGGGACGAAGTGCTAAAAAGAATCGAAACGCCATCCACCCTTACTCCCAGCACCGGACCGGACGATTTCCAACGTGCGTAGGAGATTACACAGCGTGTGCCAAACAAAGGAATAATCATCTGCGAAGTAATGCCCAGACTCATCCCAATCGCCACCCTCTTCCTCTCATCAGAATACGACGCAATCCCAACCGCCCAATGGTGCACGCCCCAACTGCCACTTCCGGGGGATTACCCAACATACCAATTATACACCCCCAAGCCCGATCTAACCATCGGCTATAACCATAGACATCTAAAGCGCTTCCAGGGGCTTGATGCACTCGAACCTTTCTCCACGCCGGTGGATTGCCGCCGGCAACTGGTCTTCCCGTCGTTTTCTGTGGAGGCTAGGGATATAGATAATTATTCTCTTGATGAACCAAATTGACTCAATGCGGCGCACATGCTGCGTGGCCTGCGCGCTCTTCGTGCACGGGCTAATCAGCCAGGTTGGCAGGCTGAGTTCGATAACCATATAACAGTCATTACGGCGAATATCTCGGCAGACATGATCAGTCTCGATGGGCATTGGACGACGGTGTCAAAGCACCGGGAAGTCCAATATCGTTCAATGGATATTAAAGATTGGGTGATTGCACATGAAGATTGGTTGGAGATCTCACAAAGTCTCACCAATGCGATCTTCACGATTCTTGAGAGAAGCAAACCGTGGATCATCAGTGACCTTAGCAAGATCCATGAATCACTGAAATTGCAAAAGCGCGCGCGATCAAAATGCGCAAGTTCGTCACAGGATACCAAGAGGATGAGGCTTACTGAGTAGTGGTCTCCAGTAAGAGGCTCCTGCTTACTGCACTAAACGGTTGTTACCATCAAATATCTTATGAAGTACTTGCTGCCCGGCCAGAAAGGCACGTGAATCTCTTGCATTGCATAGATATGCGCTCCGTATTGGTGTTATCCTTTTGCCTAGAACAATTGAAGGGCTGGATTAGGCGTTAGCATTGATATGGCATGGTATATAGCTACCAGAAATAACAAATTCAATATTCTATGAATTCTTGAAGCAGTCTATAATAGTAGGGCTAGTTAGCCGTATCTATCAAGATAGATAATATTTACCAATAATCATCCAATATTTTCAAATTACCCAAGCTATTATTCTACACAAACAAACAAGATGGGGAGTATCTAAAACAAAAAGAAATCATCGCTACATGTTCCATCATAAGTAAGAAGGGTAAAAAAAAATATCCAAATTAACATAACAAGAGGGGAATAAAAATCAATCATCACAGTCCAGCAAACTTTGCCCAACCAGCCGCACGAATTGGTTTCTTATGCTCGGGCTCAGTTCCCGGCCGTCCAGCATTAACCATCGTGCCACTTCTACCTTCCTCAGCCATTTTTCCGCTGACATCGCGACGACGTCCGACTCCGATGCCCAGTCCGGCGATGTAGTTCCCATACGACGCCAGGCCAGCCGAAGGAGCTCCTGGGTTACTGCGGGGGGCAGAGATGTCTGCGCCGGAGTTACTGACCACACGGCCCTTGCGATCGTTTTCGTCCGTGCCCTTGGGAATAGCGGGAGTCCCTTCGTTGTCGATTTCGTCGTCGCTAACGTGGTCGTCTTGACGGATTGTGTTGTAGGACTTCATTTTCCTGGACTTGCTGTTTTTCTTTTGAAGCTTGCTCTTCTTCCTCAACGGTGCGTTCTGCTCACTAACATCGCGGTCACCCCGGACGGAGACGCTCGGGTTGCTTTCCAGTTCGCCGTAGTAGCGGCCGGTCTTCTTTTCGGGGCTTTCGATTGGAGGAGGGGAGTCGGAGCGTAGGATGGCTGCTGGTGACAGGTTAGGAACGTCGGTGAGAGCGTGGCGGCCGTTGAGAGGTTTAGACGTGGTGTCGTCGTGTAGATCATTGCGAGAGGTCAGCGGGGTGGGTGGGTTCAATGCCAACGGATTGAGCAGCTGTGAAGTAGCTGGATCCTCGACTTCGTCCTTCATGTCATCGTCCTCATCACTCAGGTGGTCATTGGGGTAGATGTTAATTGGCTCATCTCCCAAGTCCCGTTCAACGTCGTCGTACAATCCATTTTCTTGGGGGTAATCATCCAAATATTCGTCATCATTGCCGTAGTGCTCATGCATGGCGAGTGATTCATACTCTCCATGAACGTCTTCCCTGATAGCCTCATCAATGTTCCATCCATACCCCTGAGCGCTAACCCAGTTGGGGGCACTATCGGTGGAGGCCGTGGTGTTGGAACGACTGTACATAGATGATATGTCACGACGAGCCATGTTTTCGTTCTTCGTGTTCTCTGGCTGGAGTCCCTGGAGGTTGTCCAACGGTGATGGGGAGCGTGACGGGTACGCGATCCAGTTGTCCGACATGGGACTCACGGTTTTCGATCTATCCGAGATGCTAGCCGGGTAAGGGCCCTGGTTAGGAACATTGAGATGCATAGGCGGGGTCGGTCGGTTCGAGAGGTTGTCAATGTCCTGCGTTGGCATCTGGGAGATTTGCACCGGTTTCCTGGGAATGACATTGCCTTGCTGGGGCCTTGTTTGGAATTGCAAAGGCTTAAGAGTAGGGTCAGCATATGGCAACTCGTCCGGGTGCACAAAAGGCCCTTGTGACAGTCGGTTGTAGTTTGTATTGAAGATGAACTCATTTAAGCCATTGCCAGAAGATGGGTGTCGGTTGTGCATCGAGAATGGCATATTACGAGGAGAGCCAATGAGCGGATCATCCATTCCAATGCCCGAATCCACAGTCGACTGGCTGAGATGCTTTTCGGCGATCTCAGACTTGGTTCGCTTATGAGGTCGGGCAGTCAGGTTATCCTCCAAGGGGTTCATGTCCGGTGGAAGTCGCGTAATCCGACGGAAGACGACAGCCAGAAACATGGAAATCCCAAACGAGACGGTGTGCAACGCCCCGCTGGCAACACTAATGATGAAGTTGACGTTGGCAATTAGGTGCGGTATGCCATTGGTGTTGCCCAACAAAGTTCCCCAATTGTATGCGACATTGGCATACTCGATGTACGAGATGTATGCCCCGAAAACATAGAACGGCACGAGACCGAGGTCGATCGTTGAGGCGAACACGTTGTAATTGGCCTGAGTTCCAGGTGGCTTTCCGATGGGCGAGCGGGATAGGTGGTAGATACCGTAGAGGGTGTGAAGGATTGCTACCGCAGGCTGGACGGATGCCAATTAACACTTGTCATGTAAAGCCAAAGGCTCATGCACTTACCCCGACACGGATGATCCAGACAATACTTGCTGGGAGGTTCGTAATAATAATAGCACAAAACAGAGCCCCAATCGCGCCAAGAAGAGCCAGCACGCGCAAACCCAGTTGAATACGACGCCCATTCAACACCCAGCCCTTCGTCTTGGGGCTCATAGGTGCCCATTGGGATCTCGCACGAGGAACATTAGGGTACGCCTGCATCGCGTCAATAGTTAGCCAATCTGCACGAGCCACGATAACAACTCTCCGCGACCACGAGGGAACGTACAGAGTTGGTAGGTGCGTTCAAATTAATCAACGGGCGACTCGACTTGGACTTTATCGACCCTCCTCTGGCCCAGCTAGTCTCCGGCACACCATTCGGGATCAAAGGACGGTCGGTAGGGCCAGCGAAGCCCTGGGCAGCAGGACGGCTAGAAAAGAGCGAAGCGAACGATCTGCCCATGATCGCGATGGAATGAAGCTTATCGCAGCATCCACGCGAGCCAGCAGAAACGATCGGAATGCCGAACTTTTGACGGATGAGATCAAGAATGGAGATGACAGGAGAGCAGAACCATGGAATGGGGAGAGAGGAATGTGGGAATGGAGGAATAGTGGTGAAGAGAGCGAGCTGAGATGGGCGAGTCGCCAATCAAAGCAGGGCAACAGAGCCGCTTCGAGTAACCGATCAACATCCCGATAATCGACCCGGCAACCAAAGATAGCAATCACGTGGGATCACTGCGGGTTGGCGGCCTGAGGCTGTAGGCTTTACGTATAACTAGTTAACTAACTAGTTATTTACAGTTGAGTCTAGCTAATAATGAAGCTCAGTATTAATTGCTAGATGACTACTCTGTAGTTAACTAGAAATTTCTATTCTTAGCCATTAAATCTCTTGAATTCCGTGGGGCCTGGGACTGCGTCCTTTGGCCACTGAGCAGGAGAATTCGTATTCATACAAGTAGCCCTGTTTATTCCATATGGTCCTGCATAGATACTACCCCTGACAGGTGACGAGGCGACATAGCAAGATACTTCATTAATCTTCGTCGAATATTTCCATAGAAAAACTGTACTCCTGTTTACCCACTGGTGCTGTGTCCGACAATTTTCGATATTTTTCCATAGTTAGTTAACTAGTTATCGTGCAACCGTCTTACATAACTCTCTTTGAGGGTCCGACAAAAGGAATCAAGGATTGCCGCTTTCTTTTCCGTTGGGAGGCCCGCTGCTCTCATCTCCAGGTCCGGACATTTCCACGGGAAATAGGCTTTAGAACGGCAGCCCCTCGTATTAAAATTGTAACCCGCACACCTCATGCTCTGGAGGAACAACCAGCACGCCAGAAATGACAGTTTGGAAACACCTATATATCCAACTGCTGGTCCTAAGAGAGCAGTAGATGAGATGATGTGGAGCGCGGGGCACTCACAATGAACGGCTACTTTCACCTTTCTTCTGAATCGACGTGATATCGAGGAACTGGGCTTGGTTCTGATACCGCCCAACACACTGCTGGCACCGGAATCTTTCACAACTGCCTCGACGATAGTGTTCCAGTGTTCTGTACTTGGGAGACGAATCTCTCGACGCTTATTATGCAACCCATGCACACAGAACTACAGTCTCCCTAGATATCTTTTATAGAGCCGAGGCGAGTAAGCATACATGAGAAGTATACTGGTGGCTCCTGATACAGAAGATAACTTCCTGAGAAAACGTTCCAGGGGCGGAAAGGCTGGCGAGGGTTGATAACTATATGTGAAGAGGTACTGAAGGGCACTTACAGGAATTCGGTTTCCCTTCTAGCACATCCTCCCAAAACGGTATCTTGAACAATTTGTCTGCCGTAGCACGAATTCGATCGACAGCATCGACGAACACTAGCATTCTCTCCGGCGGTATCTTACCCGAATTCTTGTTTAGGACTCTTGTTATCCAATCAAGTATGCGGTTTACAGACCTTAAATGATTGGCGGCCTCGTCGTCACCTGTCAAACCCTCGACAAAACTCTGTAAAACCCGATACCCGTGTGGTGCCTCTGTACGGTTTTCCAAGCGTTGTCCGAACTTCTCGAACGAGAATACATAGATTGAAACCCTCAACTTGCTAATTCTCTCCCGTAGATCTTTCGGCAAAGTCTTCTCGTGCACCACTGGTGGGGGAGTTCTTTCAAATTCATCGTCGCTAACACTGCTCTCTTGTGGTGCCTTATGGCGCAGATGATGAATTTCTTTACCAAGTTGTTGCAGATTTTGCACGATCCTTGTCGCATGGTTGATCGTCGCATCGGGTACAACTCCATTGGAAGCCAGTCACTGTAGCCCGTTCGTGGTTGGTTTGGTATCCAACGGCAATCACTTCGTGTCGCGGTGAAGAAACTAGTATTCGAGCCAAAGCGTCCAGTACAATAGATAAACGGTTTTGGACTGGATCATCAAGATCCACAGGCGAATGCCAGGGCGGTTGGTTCTCGGGCTCGACTTCCGTAAGCAATGCGACCAGCCTCTGTGCGGCTGTTGCTGTGACTTCTGACATATTGTGTGAGACGGGGAGTGAGTCCCTATTATCATCAGTGGGAGCACACAGAATGGAAAGGGACGATGCGACTACCTGTGGAACGCGTATGATCCGCTCGGGCTCTGGCCGTTAGGAGGTCCACCGGTCCCCACGGGGACAATCTCAGACTCTCAAGGTTATACTCCAGAATACACGCAGATAACATGTGCGACGGTTTTCGTATAAAAAGAAAGGAATCATCGAACAAAACAAAGTACAAGGAAAAGGTGGTTTCAGGGACCTTTAATAACGCTTTTTCTGCCGGTGAAACTAAATCGGGCTAATGTTACACCGATCCGAGGTTCTTTGTGGTGAGAGCTCCGATGATGCTTTATTTCCAATGGGGCACAATGAATCGCTTGCCATATGTCTGTGCCTCCTGCACGGCGCAAATAGCACGTGTCTCGCCTCGTCGCCCTCACAGTCAACTATCAAGCTTGACATCATTCCGGCGGTATTACAGCGTCCAGACTGATTGCCCGTTTCGCATCGCCATTGTGGGTTCGGGTCCGGCGGGTTTCTATGCAGCGCACCGATTGCTGGCCAAATCTGAAGATGCGGTGGTGGATATGTACGAGAAGCTGCCGGTGCCGTTCGGGTTGGCGCGGTACGGTGTAGCTCCAGACCACCCGGAGGTCAAGGTGCGTCATATCCGGGGTTGTTTGTGGGCAAGGCCATTCTGGATAATTTATACTAACTAGCTATAGAACTGCGAGGAAAAGTTCACAGAAGTAGCCGGATCCCCTCGTTTCAATTTCATTGGCAATATCAAACTGGGAGAAAACCTTCCCCTCCGAGTCTTGAAACCGCACTACGACGCCATTCTGTTCTCCTACGGAGCACCAAAAGACAAAGAGCTAGGAATCCCGGGTGAAAAGGCCATTCGGAATGTATACTCGGCCCGTGAATTTGTGGGATGGTATAACGGTCTTCCGGAACACCGTGATCTGGCACCAGATCTGACTGCCGGAGAGGACGCTGTGATCATTGGACAAGGAAATGTGGCATTGGATGTCGCACGCATATTGCTTTCGGATATTAATGAGCTGCGCAAGACCGACATTGCCGAATATGCAGTGGAGGAGCTGCTGAAAAGTAAGATCAAACGGGTGCGCGTGGTTGGCCGTCGAGGGCCGATGCAGGTGAGTCTGCATGCCCGATGATCTTTCCCTGCACCTGCGTACTGACTCCAATATACAGGCATCCTTCACAATCAAGGAAGTCCGTGAACTCCTTCAACTCCCATCCGTCTCCTTCGACCCAATCCCCAAAGACTTCTTCCCCTCAAACGACATCGTCTCATCCCTCCCACGCGCCCAAAAACGCCTCATCCAACTCCTCGAAAAAGGCTCAACCAACGACCCAACCACATCCACCAAATCCTGGTCCCTAGATTTCCTCCTCTCCCCCGAATGCCTAAACTGGTCTCCTGTCTACCCCTACCGCCTCTCGCACGTCAAATTCTCCCGCAACGAACTCGACCCCTCAGACCCACACTCCTCCAGCGCAAAAGTATCACCCAAGTACCTCTCCAGTGGTAACCGCGCACAGGCCAACATCCCTGCAAACACATTCTTTCGCAGCGTCGGCTATAAATCGCTGCCTTTGCCAGGGCTGGAAGAAGACCTGGGCGTTCAATTCGATGAGCAGCGCGGCGTGATACCGAGCGATGGATTTGGGCGGATAACCACACCCAAGGACACGGGCGATACGCAGCGTCTTCCGGATGGTTCGGTTCTCTCGCATCTTCCCGGACTTTACTGTGCGGGGTGGGTTAAGCGTGGCCCGACTGGGGTTATTGCTACTACGATGACGGATGCGTTTAGTACTGCGGATACCATCGTAGCTGATATGGGTAGTCAGCGCCAGCATGCGCTGCTGAACTCGCCGGGTCGGAGTACTGGTCTTGGTTGGGAGGGGGTGCGGGCGGAAGCTAGGGAACGGGGGTTGCGGACGACGAGCTGGAGTGATTGGGAGATGATTGATGCTGTGGAACGGAAAATGGGAAAGGAGAAGGGGAAGCTGAGGGAGAAGTTTGGTCGTGTTGAGGAGATGTTGGAGGCTGTTTCGTGAGACTTGTATTGTATATACTCGATGTGTTGTATGTCGTATGATGATCGTTTAGATATGTATAAATTAAATCACTTAAAGTGCTAATCTCGTATACAAACCAAAGAAGCCATTTCAATGGTACACATCAAAGTATACATTCCAATCCATCACACATTAACTCATAACCAAGTCAAAATCATACCAAACCAACTCAACCCAACCCATCTAAATCCCACACTCCGACGCTTCAACCTCAGTATATGTCGCATCAACCCTCCCCAACTGCTGCGCATTGCCACCCGTCAACTGATTCAAAGCCTGCAATCCCAGATTAAACGATCCGACCGCAGAATCCACCGCAAGCACATTAATCGTCTTATTAACCTTCCCGTTCTGGTAGTGCAATTGGTAGCATTTACCACAGTTGGGACTGTTCCAGTCCTCGACGGTGGGCGCGCCTCCGATCAGGGGGAAGTTGGGGAGGGATTCGAAGTTCGAGTAGCCCTGCGTGATGAGGCCGTTGGTGCCGTCGGAGCAGGAGACGGTGGTTAGGGAGGATGTGCCCTGGTCGTATCGCTCGTCGTAGGAGACGGAGATGGTTTGGGATGCTGCTGCTTGGGGTGAGGCGAGAGGCATTGAGAGGGTGGAGGAGGAGAGGGTGAGGATGGTGAGGAGGGAGGAGAGCATGGTGGCCTTCATTTTGGTTTATATTGAGGGTCTTTGTTTTTGAGAGGATGAGAAAGGTAGTGCGGTTGATGGATGCTGGGATTGGGATTCTGGGTGATCATTGAGGATTTATATAGCCGTCCTACGACCCTCGCACCTCGTTTCTATTATTTTTAGTCCATCATCCGGGACTTCCGTCGTATCAGACGATGATACCGTATAGGCCCGATAGTATGTAGTTGTTGCTCTGAATAGCATTTCGTATGTGCAACTGATCCTGCAGCTTCAGGCAAGGGAATCATCATCCCATTCCAACCCAATTAATGGAGTCTGGGAACAGCTGTCCCTGAGACCGGAGCAATTGAAATGCTGAGAATCATTGTGGAGAGTGAGACACACACCACGCGATGCCTCTTCGGCCATAGTACAAGTTATTCGAGGTGATGTTAGTAGCATCCGATGCGGGGAAATGGTCTTGGAAAAGACCCCCCCCCCATCCGATCTAACACGGCCGGTCAAGGAAATAGAAGCGGAAAGACCCCGGACGAAGCTTCGTTAGTCGAACTATTCAAATCATACGAGGTTGGTGATGTCTCGTGGTGACAACGGTGACACTGCAGTTGGAAAAAGGACCATACGGACAGATGCTGTGAGACAGGCATACAGTCAGCCCGACTGCAGCAAAGAGTTTTGTAGAACACGAGCAATCGGATTGCTCCCTGGGGAGACCTGAAAAAACCTGCATTCCTGGAAAATTCATGGAATCGAACAGCGCAGCAGCTAAAAATAGCAGTATCATTCAGATACGAGTACCTCACGATACATGGTATCTTGGCTTGGCAAGTTTCCAGCCATCTTCGGCCATCGGGAATTTTTTCCCGAGCTGTGCATGACTCGAGAATGTAGAAATTCTATGTTTCGTTAGCAATAATAGGGAGGACTCCCAGACAGCAAAGTAAAGATACGGCAGATAATCATGCTGTAACTCCCGCGGAATAGCCGGTTTAAGGGTATGCTTGCTGGCAATCCAGCCCAAATTCCCCGGGGAGTTCAAGAAGAAAAGAGGATGAGACTAATCAACACACACGATTAACCTCGACAAGTTGATAGAGGAATAAAACAAAGACGAGAAGTCGTGATTATAGCACGTGACTTTACACCCCCGCTTTTATGATCCAATCACGATGCATTACATGTGATCTCTTTTTGGTTTCCCTTTTGGGCAACTAGGACGTCACTTGTAGATTCATTGGTGTTGTATGAATATCGAGGACAAAACAGTGCACTTTCTCGACCCAAGTTAACTCACTCTCAAAGAATACTCCAGTATTGGAAGTTACTGCCGAATCGCAGGAAGCGGAAGACAACCCCGCACGCCCTATGTCTTAACATAACCTTGAGGGGTAATCATCAATAAAGCCGTCGTCAACCGCACTTTTGTCCTCAATCCTTAACTTCAACATGGCTAGCGAAAAGACCACCACTCTCTCCGAGTATCTCTTCACTCGACTCCTCCAGCTTGGTGCCGACTCCATCTTTGGATTGCCGGGAGATTTCAACCTTAAGCTGCTGGATTACATAGCTCCCTCGGGATTGAAATGGATCGGGAACTGCAACGAGTTGAATGCAGGATATGCTGCTGATGGATATGCGCGGATCAAGGGTATATTCCATTCCAGTTATTATTCAAAAGCGTTAACTGATTATTTCTAAGGAATCGGTGCTCTCATCACCACATTTGGTGTCGGAGAGCTCTCGGCTATCAACGCCATTGCGGGTGCATATGCGGAACGAGCTCCGGTCATTCACATAGTTGGCACGCCACCACGACAATTGCAGGAATCGCGAGCTCTCGTCCATCACACTTTCGCTGATGGCGATTTTGGTAGATTTGACCAGATGCAGGAACACATCACAGTGGCGCAAGTCATTATCAATGACTACCGGACGGCACCGGCGGAAATCGATTACGTTCTACAGCAGTGTTTAGTTCACAGCAGGCCGGTTCGGATTGCAATTCCGCATGATATGGTTGGAGTGCGGGTTTCTGCAGCAGGGCTTGATACCAAGATCGTCATCCCTCCTCCGGTCAGCCAGCCACAGGTCGAAGAGGAGGCGTTGCGACTCGTCCTGGACCGAATCTACAGCAGCAAGAAGCCAATGATACTGGTTGATGGCGAGAGCAGGGTGCTTGACATTTTGGATGAGATCGATCAGTTTGTCAAGAAGACGGAATGGCCTACCTTTACTTCTGGATTCGGAAAGAGTCTTGTTAGCGAAGCATTGCCAAACGTGCATGGGGTCTATTCGCTAGATCACAAGAATTTCGTCGATTCTTGCGATTTGGTTCTCTGCTTTGGACCTCACTACAGCTCGACAAATAGCCACCAGAGCCTTACGCTTCCAAAGAAGGAGGTTACGATAGACTTCACGGGAACCGCGGTCAAGACAAACAAGGACGCCTTCCATGACCTCCCATCAAAGCAATTTCTACAACAACTTATCGCGCAGCTCGATGCTTCAAAGTTCCCCAAGCACACTCCCGAAATCATCCCCACTAGCACCCTTTCCCCAGTGACAAGGTCGGATCCGGTGACACAGACCGGCGGGTTCTGGCAGAGACTGTCCCCATTCCTCCGGGAAGGTGACATCATTCTCGCAGAGACTGGTACGGCCGGTTACGGTGCGAACGAGTTTGCCCTCCCCCAGCACACGCGCCTCTTTAGACCGGTTACCTGGTTATCCATCGGATACATGCTCCCCGCAGCCCTCGGTGCCAGCATTGCACAGAGGGACCTCATCGCCCGGTCCGAGTATCACAATCTCCCACGTGCTCGCACTGTTCTCCTCATCGGAGATGGCAGCTTCCAACTAACAGCACAGGAACTCAGCACTATCATTCACCACAAACTGGACGTGATCGTCTTCCTCATCAACAACGAAGGATACACGATTGAGCGGTGCATCCATGGACGAAACGCGGAGTATAACGACATCACCCAATGGCGGTACCTCAAGGCTCCGGCATTTTTCGGTGCGCCAGAAGAGGGCGAGCACGCCGCACACACAACCGAGATCCGAACCTGGGGTGACTTGGAGAAGGTCATTGCTGATGAGAGGATGTGGAATGCGAAGGGGATCCGAATGGTGGAGGTGTTCCTGCCGAAACTTGATGCGCCTAAGCTTCTGATGGGTTTATTGCATAATCAGGAGCAAGCGGAGCGGAAGCAGCAAGAGAAGAAATGACGGGAGAAAAAGCACACAAAGACAAATGACAATTGTTGTAAATGTAGCTCTGCAATGCCATTTAGGCGACGGAATTCGGGGAGTAAATCTTGAACATGATTGGTCGATGTCATTTTCCTCTCCTTGCACTTCCATCGGCTAAAAGTCATTAAGATTTCGCCAGGGCTGTGCTTAATCTAGAGTACATACATGGTCTCTAGATCTACATCCCTTTCCATATTGGGAATAGTGCCAAATATCCAAGTCATGTGATTTAAGTATCAATTCTGTGAGAAAGCAGTCAAACAGGTCATTTTTTCTCCATAACAATTTCTATTTACCAAATGGCTGCCATTTTAGGCCGTCATTTGGTAACACGTGATCTGTGACTTTGATGAAGTTATAGGTAATGTAACAGCAGAACACGTCTGGAGCCTGAGATCCCAAAATGGCGGGAACCCAAGGAGGCCCTGCACCAGGCGTCAAACAATGATATGTACTGTTTCTTAGGCTGGTGTCTTAAACTCTGGTGAGGAAAAGAGGGCCGGCAATTGAAAGGCATCAACAAGTCCAGCTCATTAGAGACGGATTGGAAGAACCTTTGAGGATATTACCAGATGTTAACCAAGACCAAAATTAATGATGAGGATGGCTCAGAAGTGTGGAGGGTAAGTTAAAAAAGCCATATCTGCCAGGCTCTCTGGTCTTAACTAGTAGCAGGGCATCAAATATCTAGTCCAAGAGAACGGACTAGACACCCAATTTGGAAAGAAGACGCCGGTTTATATCGAGGATATTGGTCCATTTAATGAAACCATCCTGTCTACGCAAGAAAAGAAGTTCTATCTTGGGTTCCAGTGTATCCAAGTGTGCCTGTTCAATTCCCTGGGTCTGTTCACCATTCATTGGAGAAACGCGCTGCTGAGTCTCCAATTCAAGGATCTTCAAATTTCCCTTCAGAAGGATCCTTGCAGTGGACCTCTGATTCCTCTGGTCAAACTCACCGCAGAGACGAAAAAGTTTCTCGGGCAAACTAAATTGCAATGTGGCCAATTTCCTCTACCCTTCTCGCCTGCACTGGCTCCTATCACACGGACGCTCTGTAGACATTCTAAGAATCCATCACCTAACCTCAAGCATGCCAGCTAACCAATGGATAGGACAACCTTTGCACTCCCAGAAGTGATCTACGGGCCGTTGTTAGTGCTCTGCCCGCACACATTACTGTTCAGGATTCTCTTCCATGCTTGAGCGTTCTGGAACCCGAACTTGACCTCGAAGAGCAAGCTGCGCAAGCTCTTTATTAGCAAAGGCTGCGAGCAGCTCCTTGCACCTTTAGACCGGGACAGGGCTAATTGGTATCTATTCTGCAAGACTGAATTAGTCAGAGGGGTTCCGACTATTCACTAGACCCAGCAGATGTCAAAGACAGCAATGTCGAGCATGCTGGCCACTTTTGGGGAGATCCGCGGCTGGAAAGGGGCATTCCATAGCGCTCTCTGTCTTTCACTCTCTCCGTGCCAGCAATGGCCTCGCTGGCCCGACTGGGGGCCCTGCTGGATCCCCCGGTTGCCAGCGCTCCTGGCCTTCATTTTCATCCATGCTCGCACTCTCTATGCTGCTAGCGTTAGATACAGGCTGCATCACGTTCCCGGATCGCCAGCGGGTTGGCGTTGGGGTGAGTGGCATATCTTGTATCTCCGCGAGCTGGGAGGCCACGTTGCCCACTCCGGGGAGTGACGCGTGCGAAATTCCACCACCACGGGGTCTCTGTGCCTCCATGGTGGTTTTATAGGTGCCAGAAGGCCCCTATCGGTCGATTGACGTGTGAAAAAGACGTGTGAAAAAGACGTGTTTTTCTTGGGTGCTGATTTTGATGTTCCAGGCGCCAAGTTTTTTTAGTCTAAAGGGGGGCAGTATTTTTTTTGGGTGCTTACAGAGCTCCTCATAGTTAATTTAGAGTAATACCTGTCCGATACACTTCGCGACGGGATCAAGAAACCGGCTTGTCTCATCTATGTCTAGGACGCGAAGGTAATTCACAGCTCCCTGTATACCTTTCCAACAGTAGCGACGCTTTTACCAGCCCCCTACATCCTTCTCGAAGTACACACGCTTATGGTCAGCCCCTACCCTTTCCCAGTCTCGCTCTTAGTTCGGACAGTTGAGTACAGTAATCGCATGAATCCATTATAAATGATCAAAACCAAATGCTAGGAGAGAAAAACTGCCATAACCACCAAAGCTTCTATGAAAGAGCAGTCAGAGTTTGCAATGGTCCCAAATTCCAAGTCCAAGGTCAGGCCAACTTGGTAATAGAAAAAAAAGGAGCGCTGCCAACACACTCCCCCTCTAACCCAAAACAGGAGCAGCAACCTAAGTCTCAAAATTTGCCGTCGTAAACTGGTCCCCTCACTCCCGCGATACGTCTAGGAAATATTCATTTTGGGAGACTTTGGAACATTTATGATGGGTCTCAAGCACTGAGGTTACTGGCAGACACGTATCTTATACGTATTTCTGTACTAAGGCAACTCCGACATACAGGAAAGCGGCCAAGATTGTTGGTCCAATGACGTTCCGTAAGGTGAAGAGCCCGATGAGAAATAGGTTCATGGTATAGGTACCCACAAACAGGTGGTTTAAAGCCTCCCAGTACAGCAGACCAGCAGTTTCTACGTTAGTTTCGAGGACGTAAATGGCTTGGTAGGAATGGACCACCAGGAAAAGCCCAAACAAAACCAATCCGACGGGCAATATGAGTGGGGAGACAAGAGAGAATATGATGCCTATATTTTCTTTAGTTGATACTTTATAGGAGAACTGTTGATGGGGAGCATACATATACAAATTAAATTTGTGAAGACCGTAAACCAAACTCCATTGGATTGGCTTAAGACACACCTTCTTTTGGCCATGCAGCAGACACTTCCAAAGGCTCTCTGGAAGCTGAAATAAAACCATCACGCATTGTGTGACAGCTTGTAGAAGTAACTAAGAGTAGAAGTAATTGCAAGCCTTTGGTAAGTTCCTAGTTAGAATCGAGGGGACTGATTGGATATTGCCGACAATCCCGGAGATCATGGTTGTCAAGTTCGAAGAAACAGAGACGACGATAAACACTTGGATATAAAGGAATAAAAAATAATGTCTCTGTATCAATCTTTCGATTATCGACTCTTCAAGCATCGGATATAATTTTGCCAGGCGTCGTATAATTAAAGGGACGCAGTACATCAAAATGGATAGTGCTGCCAGTGGGGTTTGGCATTTCATCCACTACTTCAAATGCTACATCAGTTATACCAATTGTCTTGCAAATCAATAAGTGAGTTCCTTTACAGAAGATAATCATAATCTGTTTGAGTCTACATACTATATCAGACCAACCGTTGGCTGATTGAACCTCGTATAAAACACTAAAATACTTAGCTTTGCGCATGGTTGGATAGAAACATCTGGATAGGAGGAATCATTGGTATGCAGAATGCTATGTACAACGATAAGTACAATAAAAGAGGTTTCCATGATGTTCAAGAACACTTTTTGAACACTGAACTATCCTTTTCAGGATCCATGGAAGGGTGGCACATGACACCGCAATAATGACCATCTGTGGCGCTGTAAACAACGCGGCATGGATGCCCCGTCTCCTTCGTAATCTTCCTTTTGTCATTTTTGCCTTTGGTCTCTTTTCCTTTGGAAGGATTCCAGTCATACAATTCTGTAGGGCTGTCCTCAAGCAACGGAAATTCAAGCAGCTGGGTCTTCACATTCTTCGAGTTGCAAGCTTGGTTGTCCCATTTAAGTTCCTCGCCATTACCGTAATGATGCGGGTAGTTGGTAGGGGTGCGATGCTTTGACTTGCGGGTTTCTGGATCTTTGAGGAACTGAGTGCCAGAGGGAGCTTTTTTGGCAATCTCCTTGGCGGCATTCTCGGGGATTTTGATCGTCTTTCCATCCACTGTGCATTGGAGAGTCTGGAGGATTTGTTAGCATGGTTTTCATTTCCATCTCGACCAGTGCAGAAGGGTCAGCATACTCTGCCTTGATTTTGTTGTGGCTGTTTACTTTTACCCTTACGTTTACCTTGCTTAGCGGGTTGAGCAGGGTTGTGATGGGTCTGGTGGTTAGATGGGCCGCTGTGGGTTTCGGGTATAGCTGGGCTGTCGGGTTTGGGCATAGGTTTGAGTGGGGTGGCCAGGGCAGAGCCAGCGAGAAGGAGGAGGAGCAGGTTGGCTTTGATCTGAACCATGGTGAAGTAGTTGATGAAGTAGAATAAATCTGATGGTTTACTTTGGAATTGTAAGTGAATTATAAGATTAGAGTGAGAAATGATTTTTTGATGTCCAGCTTGAAGTAAACAACATTGTGATGTCTTATATGTTGTCTACTTATCCAAGAAGGCCGATCCTATGAGTGTCTTAATGAGTGTACAAAAATAGCGTAACAAGGCTATACAAGGGGGCCATGGGGCCATGACCGAATCTCAGCAGAATCTGGGGCTATGAATTCCACAGTAGGTTAGCACTCTCAGCCTTATGCAGGGCAGCGCAGTTAAAATCATAATCAAGTAATGAAACTAGGTAGCTTTAGGGTAATTTATCTGATCTAAGCTCCTAAGGGTCTTCTCTTATTAGAATTGGCCCCCAACACAGCCTACATCAGCCACATGTGATCGGCAAGGCTGAAAGTCATCTTTACTTAAACAAACATCCTTCATCCCTCATCCCCATCCTTCATCATTCTAACAGACCTGTTCCCTCACCCTCTTTCTTCAAAAAAAATTTTTTTTTTTTTTTTCTCTCTACAGTTACTTTCTACTGTCTAAGATTATTGGTTCACTCAACACTAATAATGGCTACTACAAACCCCCTAGGTCTTGACCTCGACACCCAGTATGAACCAACGTTTGTCGAACAGAACGTGTTTGATCTCCTGGTAGCCTATCTCCCATCGGACTCGACAATAACCCCTCAACAAGCAGCGGAGAAGATCAACTCCCTTTTTCCTTACAACCGTCCGGAAGAAGAGGATGATAAAGAATCTGCCGGCAATTTTCTGGGTGAGCTCTGGGAGGTAATGTTCCGCCTTGTTATCCAGTTAGACTTTCAGGAACAGCCCATGCAACGATTTGTTGCTCTCCATAAGGCTCTGAAAGAATTACCTGAGATTATTGTCACCAATGACTCGCATTGGATCAATGGTAAAAGGGTATGGCAAGATCGACCCTGGTTTGCCCTGCAGTTGCATGAATGTTGGGCTGGTACGTTCATCCTAATATATATACATGGATCATTGGATTACTGACCGTCCAGGGATGACCGCTGGCCACATAGTAAACAGCCCAGCTGACCGGGAGTGGAAAAACATGAATGGGCTACTGGCACACTTTACCAACGAAGGCATCGCTAACAGTGCTGCCCGCGCCCTGATATGTATCACCCAATCCCTCGAGGATGATGATCGAAAGGAACGAGCTAGAATCATTAACCTGTTTGTTCCAGCTGCTAGCATCTGGTTCATTCTCTGCGGTCCCATAATCTACGAGTATTGCCAAAATCACACCTGTGATGACCAAGAATTTGGGAAGAAGCTTTGGAAGGGAACACCGCGGCAGGGATATTCCATCGCCCGGTGGGAATTCTGGAGAGATCGGTTTGAAGAGCTGAGTACGCATTTCATGGCGACGGAGGAGACGAGACAAGCATGCAGGGCTGCGATGGATGCGATGGACGCAGTTCCCAAAGCCAATTGATTCAAAGTGTATTATTATTATTGGAATTATCTACCTTCCAAACCAAAAAGTATCGCGAATTAAGTCAAATGAATTTTGCTATTATGCAGTCAATTTAGAAACGCCTTTGGCAAAAGAAACTGTATGACTGACTTGTAATTCGTAAGTCGTAACATAGCTACTATTCCGTAGAAATTCGACGGCCTTTATTTCAATCCCATTCTGCCAATAAAACTCAAGCAATGACGGCAGGAAATGGTAATTGCTTCTGCGCAGCGACAATTCGCGGATATGTTGAGCTGCACAAAAGGGAGAATCAACATTCAAACCCATTATCTTTGGTATTTAGGCAGAATGTGCCCGCTACTTTCTCACAGGCGCTTTCGCCGCGGATGTCGACACCGCATGTGCCTGGCTCGAACCCACTTTCAAGGGCGTGTTCAATGGATTCAACAATGCCATTTTGTAATTCATCGTAATTGAAGTCGGTAACTACAACAGTTATTTTGTTCTTCGTGGAGTCGTAACTCATAAAGCGAATCTAGTTAGCCAAATTGTAAGCCATATGAACCAAGAAGGAAGATATAGGACTTGTAACAATATTTACCATGACCTCTTTCACACCGACAGCGGAATAAAAGGAATAGCGTTTCCACCAACTGAAGATCTTTCGCAGCTCATCAACCCGAATTGGAAACGACGATTCCTCCAATTTTATATCCTGAGCAATCCATTTGCCACCCCGTTTCATGCAGATCCATATGCACTCCTCATGGCCTTGTTCCAGAGCTTTTCTGCAGTAGTCGTAGATAACAGATGGCCGGCCTTTCTCTTTCTCTGCTTCTAGAAAAGGATTATATCCACCGCCTTCTAAATAGACCAAGTTAGGAGTCTATACATGTCTTCGACGACGGGGTCCACTCACCAGACATTATCTTCTCAAAAATTTACCTGACCTTACCGTTGGACTGGTGGACAGCTATATAGAGGGGGCACCACCCTAAGGGAATACTTCAGGATTATAAATAGACCCGGTATGGGTGCGTTTGGCACGGCTAGGCTGAAATCCTGCGGCTCCCAGAAAGGCGGCGCAATGCACGAATTCCCCCCAATCCGTTTGTCACCGATTTACTCAGCTTAGATGATTCCATGTTTAATATACAAATGAAATAGACCAAAAAATAGATAGCGGTTAATGAGAAGTGTCCTGGGCCATATCATGCCTTTTCGTCTCCAGTAGAAGCTGACGCGCCTCCCTGATCTGACAAACACTCACTAGGCTGGGGCAGGTACATCATCCGTCCTTCTATCTGGTCCAGGGCCACAATTTCAGCATTCAGATTGTGACTTTGCAATATGCTCCTAGGAACCCTCACTTTCTTAACCACCCTCACTGACTCTAGTCACAATTTCCCAATAAAAGGGGAAGTCGGTTTCCTCTTTCCATGATGCTTCTACCCAACCCCAACCGGTCCTTTTGGCACCTCCCTTATTCCCTGCCCAACGGCATCCTTTTATTCAGAAAATCTCACATTATTTTTGGTTCCTAACCTCCATTCCCTCATTTATCGTCATTGATTGTTCTTGCAGACCAAAATGATCGTTCTCACGGTTGGCCTCCAGGTAGGTGAGACTCATCTAACTTTATTTCATTCACTCACCTCCCTTGATGTGACGGTCAAACGCTATAGGACTGGGGGAAGACTTTCTCAGACGTATCACACGTGATGTATCATATGAGACACATTGTATGAGACAGGTCAACGCCACATCTAGATAAATATCCTCTCCTTCCTCTAGATAGATTCCGTTCTCCAGATTCGAGATTCTCGTCGATGGCTACAATAGTTTAGATAGGAACATTGATTCAATATTATCTACTATTCCGAGCCCGTGACAAATACCAGAATCAACCAGTCCCAGAATTCAGTGTTGGATGGCTTGCTGGCTTCAAGAAGCGCTACAAGATTCAGAAGCATAATAGGCATGGAGAAGCTCTATCTGTGCCTGAATCAGCTGCTGAAGAGATGAAGTCTATTCAAACACTCTGTGGGGAGTTCTTGGAGGAGGATATCTATAATATGGATGAAACTGGGCTCTTTTGGCGACAATCTCCCACCTCTGGATTAGCAACTGAAAATCAACTTGGTGTCACGATGCCAGTCCGCTAGGTACACGTGACCCACATGTGACCCACACGAGATATCTATCTGTGTCTGGCGCCGATCCTGCTGCAGCTCTTCGAGCTGCGTCTTGTCTATGAACCTGTAGATAGCCTGACCTGTAGCTTATCCTGTTCGTCAACTCCTAGTATATATCTGTACCTGACCCTGCACCCTGACAGGAAGGCCCATTGAAATTAGGGCAGAAATTGGTGGGGATTGGTCAACTTCTTGCTCTGTATCACTATCATCCTTCAGTTCGCCATCATTTGACACATCAGAGTCATCTTCGGGTCCGCACGATGCGTCTCTATCACCCTAACATATGTTCAGCATATGCCGCACATAGCTCAAGCATAAGGGTAAAATACACTCACCTCAGGTAAATTGATACCATTGAGAAAACGAACGATCCGATCAATAGGCTCCTGGTCGGTCATACTGGTGGTGTTTGACACGGATATGTAGGAGGGATTTGGAGTCTCGTAAAAGCCTAGTGATAAATACGGGAAGAAACATGCGAAAACCGCACTATTACAGGGGTAAATTACTACAGAATTGCATAAGTCCACATGGGGTAAGCTATAGCTCAGCATTGGTAGAAATCATCCCACTAAAAGCTCAGCATATGTAGAAAATATGCGATGTGAATTAAAGTGGGGCTGAAATTTCCTACCAACGCCGAGAGTTTATCCGCTCCGATCTCTACATACGCTGAGCTAATCCTCTACATTCGATGAGCTGTAAGCCCGAGATCCACCCTCATCCATCTAGACAGCTACAGAATACAATGCCTTTCCTTGCCATAGCCTGATCCACATTATCTCCATCATCTTGAGGCTCAGAGGTATTATCCCAAGGCCGTTTGCGTCGTGCTTGCTTTCTCTGTAGGCCAACATTCGCCGATCCCACTCATGAACCGTAATGCACCATACTGTTACAGGCTTTGTGGAGCAGCTGAAATGGCGACAATCTTGAGCTGAGTCGAGCTGATCCATGTTCTATTTAATTCAGCTGAAAACACGGTGGAGCTCACTCTAGATCTGCATTGGAGTAATGGTACACGTATGTAGTCGCAACACTCATATATAATATGTATATATTTTATCCTCCAGCCGAATTTCATCAATCACACAAGCTCAATTCCGATCCACAAGCACAATGTCCGAATTCAATCCTACCTGGCAACAACCCAGCCACCCGGATCGCCTGCAAGTCCTCAAAGGCGACCAACCCTTTCAATCCTCCGCCCGCTCCCTCATCGCTCTCCCCGCAGGAGCCCTCTTCGCCAAAATCACCACCGCCACGCGCGCCCCCCAAACCACCTACACCTCCGTCGCTGACGGCCCCGACTCCCGCATCGAACTCAACTCCGACCTGGTCTACTGCAACCACTCGTGCCAACCCACCCTGGTCTTCGACATGACTCGCTTCGAGGTCCGCGTGGCTGACGACCGGCCGCTTGCCGTCGGCGACGAACTTACTTTCTTCTACCCCAGCACCGAGTGGACGATGGTGCAGGCCTTCCAGTGCCAGTGCGGGGCGGGTGACCAGTGCTTGGGCATGATCTCGGGATCGCGCGATATCGAGCCAGCCTTGCTTCAGGGGTATTGGCTGAATGAGCATGTGGGGAGGTTGTTCGGTGAAAAGGTACAGCTGGAGAAGAATGCGCCATTAGGCCGAGACTCGCAGCCGGCATTAGTGTAGAAGTTGTGGGTCGAGAATATGATCTGTTGAAATTGTCACTGTGAACACTCTGTATTGAGAATAGATATGCTGTATTGTAGCAATGTTGTTATCAGTATTGTTATTATATTCTTTTCATATTTTCTTTCTTGTTGGCCCAAGTTACCCCGTGGGCTGTAGTGGAAAGTGCCAAATGCCATGGGCCTGTAATGTGCTGCCATTGCGGCTGAATATTTGCAACAGTGATCGTCATGTTCAGCTCTGAAATGTTGGTGGAGTAGCTGCACAAGATGCATTCAGATCTTTCCACCTTAACTCAAATGTTCTCTTTATGTAATGATAAAAATAGTATTCCATGTCATGGCCCCTCATCCTCATCCTCATCCTTCCAATCTTTCTTTTTTCAAGGCTCCCTGCTCCATGTTGAGTACAATTCGATCTTCAAACCTACCGGATACACCGAAAAAATGGGAGATGCCGGCGCTGGTGGCTCCATGCCTTTCCCCAGTGATTCATGCCTATTCCCTGCACTGAACACTTTATCTGGTGAGAGCCAGGATTCCGTGGAGTATGTTGCAGTAGATTTAGAGAAAAAGGATCAAATTCGAAAATTCTGCGACTTGCAGGGCATCGAATTGCTCCAGCTTCTTCAGCTTACCTGGGCGATTGTGCTTCGCACCTATACGGGTTCGAAATCTCCTCTGTTCAGGTATGTTGACGGTCAGAAAATCGGTCTACTATGCTCCCTGGATTTGTCGGAGAAGCACGGAACTGCCTTTCTGGCCAAGAATGTGGTTTTCTGGGAGGATGCTGCGATGGGACATGCGCAACATTTCATGAACAGTGCCATTACATGGAATGCCGGAAACAAAGGTCATTCGGAGCAGGTTCGTTCAAGAGAGCAACTTGGAAATAGTGATGCCGAGAAACCTCGCGTGCTAACATATGAAGCTCCAGGTACTCATTAGCCTAGACGCCGGCAGTGATGGAACGGCAGTGCTGAGATATCGAGCGTCTGCCTTGGCCAAAAGTCGAGCCATCGATGTGGCCGAGTTGGTCACCCATGTAATCACTCAACTTTCACATGGTATCCAATGGACCAAGCTCAATCTATGCCCACCCAGATGCCTCCAATGGCTGTCTCAGCGGCACTCGCTTCGCGAACGTGTAGACGCGTGTGTCCATGAGCTCATACTCAAGCAGTGTCAGGCGCGGCCTAATGCCCAGGCCGTCTGTGCCTGGGATGGTGAAATCACGTATGGCGAGTTGGACCACCTATCTGCTAGACTGGCTAGACATCTGACCCGACGTGGGGTTGGGCCAGAGATTTTTGTGGCGCTGTATTTTGAAAAATCACAATGGGCGGTGGTTGCGCTCTTGGCGGTTATGAGGGCTGGTGGTGCCTTTGTACTCCTAGAGCCTTCGCTCCCCACTGCACGGTTGCAGGAGATGTGCTACCAGTTGAACATTGAGCTGGTTTTGACTGCTGCTAATTTGATGATGGCAGCTGCTGAGATCGCCCCTAGTGTGATTCCAGTGGGCATGCAATCAGAATGTTTCAATGATCTGCTCTCCACTTTCCCAGTGACGTTACCTGTAAAAGTTGAGCCTCACCATGCGCTTTACGCGGTCTACACTTCTGGATCGACGGGAACGCCAAAAGGTGCTGTGAACATCCACTCATCTTACTGCTCCGGGCAGAAGGTGTTTGCAGACATCTACCAAATTGAGCCGAGCTCTCGCGTCTTTCAATTCTCATCATTTGCATTTGACTTCAGTATCCTGGATATTATCAACACGTTGATAGCCGGGGCATGTCTATGCATGCCCTCAGAGTCCTCGCGCAGATCCAATATCACCGACGCCATTACCCACCTCCGAGCAAATTACCTGCTACTGACACCCACCGTCTCACGCCTATTACGTCCCACTGACATCCCGCTAGTGAAGACCCTGGTGCTTGGCGGCGAGGCATTGCGGCAGTCAGATATCTCATCCTGGATCAGTAATGGTGTCCGCATACTCAATGTCTACGGGCCTGCAGAATGCTGCATAGCCACCTCAGTTCACGTCATGAATGACGAGCAAGATCCTAGGGTATTCAGCTCTGCTGATTCCGCCTTCTGCTGGATCGTAGACCCGGACGACCACCACAAACTGCTCCCCATCGGTGCGGTTGGCGAGCTATTAATCGACGGCCCGATTGTGGGCAGGGGATATGTTTGTGATCCAGTCAAGACTGCCATCTCATTTGTGGCCAGTCCAATGTGGCGCCAGGCTTTTCCTGGAGCCGATTTCGACGCACGGATGTACAAAACCGGGGACCTGGTGCAATATGTTGCCGGCGGCAAAATCGCATTCGTCGGCCGCAAGGATGCGCAGGTTAAGCTCCATGGGCAGCGGCTGGAGCTGTCTGAGGTCGAGCATCATGCGCGCAATGTCCTTGATGGTAATCAAGACGTGACGGCGGAGCTGATAACTCCAGCCGACAGTGACAGCCACCCGATTTTGGCAGCTTTCGTTCTGTCGGCGAAGTCTCCCAATGAGATGGGCCAGGATCTCTCTGCGCCTCCATCTGAGGATTTTCGCCGCGTCGCTCAAGCCACCTTGGCCCGGCTGCATGATAGCCTTCCCCAATACATGGTCCCATCAGTCATGATCCCGATGACCACCATGCCCACGACAAGTTCAGGGAAGTTGGACAGACGAGGTCTGCGACATCTGGCCTCGCAATTGACTCGGAAGCAACTCGAAGCCTTTACCTGGGACGCTGCTGTACAGCAACGGCTCCCGGCCTCTCCGATGGAAATCGTCCTGCGTGGGTTGGTTGAGAAAGTCCTTAATACTAAGGAAGTTAGCATGAATGACAACTTCTTTAGCCTTGGCGGCGACTCTGTTCGAGCCATGCAACTGGCTCAAGTCGCTCGACGAGAAGCAGGTGTTGACTTATCTGGAATGAGTGTACTTACGACGCCAGTGCTAGCTGACCTCGCCCTAACCATGGCACCGAGTCAAGGACCAGCTGCAGAGATTCCTTCGTTTAGCCTGCTGGGGGATCAGAGTGGATTGGAACAGACACTGTCGCTGGCGTGTAAAGAATGCGGCCTTGCATCAACAGCTGAGATTGAGGATGTCTACCCGTGCACTCCGCTGCAAGAAGGCATGATCGCTCTATCCATTAAAAGCCCACAGGCCAAGTATGCCACACAAGCCGTTTTCCGGGTTCCGCGTGCAATTGATATTGAACGGCTCAAGGATGCGTGGGACACTGTCATTCAATGTTCGCCCGTGTTGCGCACTCGAATCATTCAGAGTAACGCTGGCCAAGCATTGCAGGTTGTAGTGAGAGGCAATGCTGTATGGGATCATACAGGTGATTTGGAGGCGTATATCGAGCGGAATACGCAGAAGGGATTCCGCTTGGGAGGGCCGTTGACACGTTTGGCGATTGTTGAGGAAAGCGGCTTTAGTTACCTCGCTTTCACTATTCACCATGCTTTATATGATGGGTCGTCATTGCCGAAGGTGTACTCGCAAGTCGAGAGTGCCTACTATGGCGAGATACGCCAGTCAAAGCCATTCAACCTCTTCATTGACCATCTTCTCACGCTCGACAAGGACGAAGCAGACGCCTTCTGGCGAGCCAAGCTAGCGGGATTCATGGGTCCCCCTTTCCCCAACGCAGATTTGGTGAACCACCGATCTACGACCATAAAGACCATGGAGCGGTCAATGGCTATCACTCCGCCTAAATCTCTCGGGGTCACGACAGCAACAACAATCAAGCTAGCTTGGGCCCTCACGCTATCACAGTATGGCGGCTCTGACGATGTTGTATTTGGCCAAACCCTGACAGGCAGGAACGTGAATGTTCCCAGTATTGAGGAAATCCTGGGGCCAACGATGACCACCGTGCCGCTTCGTATACGCCTTCAACGAATGATACGGGTGCACGATCTGCTTCGCGCAGTGCAGGAGGATAGTGTCGCCACTATGCCGTTCGAGCATGTTGGTTTGCAGCGCATTGCATCACTGGGATCTGAGGCTGCTCTTGCCTGTACATTCCAGAATCTTCTAATAATCCAGCCTCCCAAAGACCAGTCCTCGTCGACTATCTTTAATTGTGTTGAAGAGAAATACTCGACAGAAATTATTGATAATTACCCCCTGATGTTGGAGGCGCATCTGAAAAAGAACGACTCTGTCCATTTTGTAGCATCGTATGACCCCGACGTCATTGAAGGATCCCTGATGCATGGCATGTTGAGTCAGCTTGTCCATAGCATACGCCAGCTCACGGAGAGTACTGCCGATACGACCATGAAGGAACTGTGGTCTGTCAATCCTTCCGACTTTGGCACCATAAAAAATTGGAATGATCATGTCCCGCAAGCTATCGATTGTTGCGTTCATGATGTGATAAGACGGCACTGCATAGCCCGGCCAGAATCTACCGCGGTGACTGCCTGGGATGGCACTATGACCTATAAGCAGCTCGACGAACACTCGGCCAACATGGCGGCGCATCTCACAGAATTGGGGACCGTCCCTGGCACGTTTGTCATGATCCACCTGGGGAGATGCCTCTGGGCAGTGGTTGCGATGATGGCCGTGATGAAGGCTGGGGGTGCCTTTGTGTTGCTTGAATCTGGCCAGCCAGTAGCAAGGCTCCAAAAATTGTGTCAGGAGACACAGGCACCGTTGGTCATTACATCCAGCAAGTTCCGATCGTCTCAGCTTGGTCCCCGAGTCGTCAATATCGACTCTTATAATTATTGGCTATCCAAGCACAGCCCTTCCGCAGAGGTCCCTGTTGGTCCCCATGATCCGGTATATGTCGTATTCACATCCGGGTCTACAGGACGACCAAAAGGAGTCGTTGTTCAACACCGGGCATTCCTGACTTCGGCCGTCATGAACGGTGGCAGGCAACATGTCAATTCCGACACGCGGTTTCTCCAGTGTTCGTCGTTCACATTCGATGCCTCGATTGCCGAGATACTGTACTCGCTGGTCCATGGTGCCTGTGTCTGTATTCCCACAGAAGCCGATTCCCGGAACAACATAGAAAAGGCTATCGGCGACTATGGCGTTACGTATGCCACTCTGACTCCCTCGGTAGCCCGGACATTGGATCCCTCCAAGGTAACCACTTTACGCGTGTTGCTCCTGGGAGGAGAAGCCATGACATCGACAGATATCCAGATGTGGGCAGGCCGTCTTCAACTAGTCAATGGCTATGGGCCTGCCGAATGCTGTGTGGATGCTATCGTGCAACCCAATGTCACGTCTGCCTCGGAACCTGGTGATATTGGCTGGGGAGTGGCGGTTGCCTCCTGGATCGTAGATCCCGAGGACACCGGGATTCTCAAGCCGATCGGTGTGGTGGGTGAGCTTCTTCTCGAAGGGCCCACTCTTGCCCAGGACTATCTACACAATCCGGAGAAGACGGCCGCATCATTCATTGAGTATCCAGACTGGCTGCGCTCCTTGCGGTATGGGAAGCCCGGCCGCCTCTATCGAACAGGGGATCTGGTGCGTTACAACCCCAAGGGAGACGGATCGCTCCTTTACGTGGGTCGCCAGGACAACCAGGTCAAGCTGCGCGGGCAACGCATCGAGCTAGGGGAAGTTGAAGAACATGTGCGACAGGCTCTTCCAACCGCCCGAGAGGTGGTAGCTGAAATCGTGAAGCCGTCCGACGCAACTGCACAGTCAACACTCACAGCTTACGTGCTGGCGGGTGATGCTGGCTCATCAGCTATTGACTACAGCAGCCTATTTGTCTCTGCCAGTGACGACCTTCGTGCCCAAATTCAGGATGCTGAGGCCATACTCCAAGCTCGTATCCCGAATTATATGATTCCGGCCGTCTTTCTGCCTCTAGCCCGTGTTCCCTTCACCATTTCGGGGAAAATCGACCGGCGCCTGCTGCGAGAGGAAGCATCAAAACTTTCACGGAAGGGGCTCCGGTCGTATACTTCAAGGATGTCCTTGGAAGACTCTTCTCCTTCGACACGGCAGGAGGCTGTCCTGCAGGATGCGATTTCCGGCGTGCTCCAGCTTCCACCCACGGAGATTGGAATGCAAGACCACTTCTTCCGCCTTGGAGGCGATTCGATCGCCGCTATGAAGCTAGTCGGCGCTATGCGAGGAACTGGATTTAGCTTAACAGTAGCTGAGATCTTCAGTTACCCATGCATTTCTGACCTTGCTCGACTTGTTTCAGAGGATGAAGATCACAATCCGTCACCATTCGAGTCAGTCCCACCATTTTCTCTGCTAGGCCACACCTCAAGCGTGACAGTCATTGAGGCCGCAGCAGCTCAATGCTGCGTGGATCGAGACAGCATTGAAGACGTCTACCCTTGCACCCCTATGCAAGAAGGGCTCCTGGCTCTGAGCATGCTGGAGCGGGAGAAGTACATTGGAAAATTTGTATTTGAGATCCCCAAAGGCACGAATATTAGCCTTCTTCGTTCATCATGGCAGGCGGTCTTTGATTCGAACCCTATCCTCCGTACCCGTGTGGTGCAGGCTCCCGGGGGAAACTCCGCGTTATACCAGGCAGTCCTCCGTCAGCCGGTCTACTGGTCTGGAGATCTCAGTCCGCTGTTAATTATCCAAGGAGGGCCCCTGTACAAGGCTTGCATCTCACCGCACAATGATGATCTCCAATTGCACCTCTGGCTTCATCATTCCCTGTATGATGGCGTGTCCCTTTCTAGCTTTCTCCAGCAGGCCGAGACTGCCTACAACGGGAACTTGTTGGATTTACGTCCTTTCTCTCCATTTGTGGCATACACAAGCTCTCTTGATTCCGCTGCATGCAGGCAATTTTGGGAATCTGAGTGCAGCGATATTGATGACGCCGCCACATTTCCGGCCTTCACGATTGATCCGCCCGCTGTCATCGCCCGGGAATCCATATCCACCGCTTTATGCCTTTCCCATACATCCTCCAACCGGTTTACCTTACCATGTATGATTCAATTGGCATGTGCTGTCGTCTTCAGCCATAGGGCACTTTCCAACGATGTTATCTACGGGGTAACTCTGACCGGACGAAGCGCCCCCGTTAGGGGCATTGACAAGATTTCCGGGCCAACGATAAGCACCGTTCCTTTCCGGTGCAAGTTGAAACCGGACACAAGAATTGATGGATGCCTGGAGGAGATACAAAATCGTCTAGTTCGTATGATCCCGTATGAGCAAATGGGTCTACAGAGTATTCGTTCCATAAACCCCGAGACCAAGATTGCATGTGATTTCCGATGCCACTTGGTTATCCAGCTAGATGATGAAGATGCATCAGCAGAAAATCCTTTGTTTCGAGAGCCTGCCTCGAATGACGATATGGATTCGAACTTTGCCAGTTACCCGTTGGTACTAATTTGCAGGGTTTACCCTAACAGGAAGACTGTTCGTTTCACGGCTAATTTTCAGGCGTGTAGTGTTAGCTGCAATGAAGCCAATGTTGTCTTGGAACAACTTGGTCATGTTTTCCAGCAAATTATCCAGGACCAGGATCAGTCGCTGGCTGACCTGCAGCTGATCACACCGTCTGACTGGTCCCGACTCGCCGAGATCAATGCCACCGTACCTTCAAATGTTGACCGACTCATCCATGAAGTGGTATTCGAAATCTGCAAGACCTATCCAGAAAAGACAGCTATTGATGCATGGGATGGCACGCTGTCGTACAGCGAGTTACTAGCAGCCAGCGTCCAATTCTCCCAGTACCTGATCTTGAAGGGGGTTGGGGCACACCCGGTTACAGCAATTTGCATGGAAAAGTCCCGGTGGACAATAGTGGCCATTTTAGCCGTACTGCAGACCGGCTCTGCCTGCACGATGATTGATCCTTCACACCCCGTGACTCGAATACAAGCCATGATCGATCAAACAGCCGCAGTATTCACTGTGGTATCCCCGCTTACCAAGGTCTTGTTGAAGGATATATCGCCCTCTGTCGTGGTCCTGACACCGTTTGGAACGGATGCGTCGCAGTCAAACCCTTTTCACTCCACACGAGGAGCAAATTCTAGAGACCCTGCCTTTATTCAGTTCACCTCAGGATCCACGGGCACGCCCAAGGGAATAGTTTTGGAACACACCAGCATATCCACGGCCATGCGCGATTTATCTCAGATTATGAAGCTGCACAAGTCCGCCCGAATGCTCCATTTTGCTTCATATGCCTTTGATATGAGCATGATGGAAATATTTGGCTGTTTGACCTCCGGTGGTTGCCTGTGTATCCCCTCCGACACGGATCGGACGTCTAATCTCGAAGGCTTTATCCAGCAGTACGGGGTGACTTGGATATCCATGATACCGTCAGTCACGAGGATCCTGAGTCCGTCTCAGGTCCCAACCCTAAAGACTCTCCTCGTAGGTGGAGAGCCGCTTACAACTAACGTGGTCGATCAGTGGGCTGACCATTTGGACCTGATCAATATTTATGGCCCGGCCGAGTGCACATTCATGGTGGCGGCCGGGCAAATTCCGCCGACCGGCTGGATTCCTGGTACAATCGGTCCCGTCGTTAATGGTGTTTGCTGGATTACGAGTGCCTCAAACCCAGCCCAACTGGCAGCCTGGGGTGCCGTTGGAGAGCTCTTGGTCGAGGGCCCCATTCTGGCCCGGGAGTACATTGGGAGCCCAGAAAAGACGGCAGCCAGCTTCATGCCCAGTCCAGCATGGCTCACGAAGTTGCGGGGCCATGACAAGTCTCGGCTATATCGGACCGGAGATCTGGTACAGTATACTGAAAATGGGGAAATCAAATACGTTTGTCGTCAAGACAGGCAAGTAAAGATCAATGGGCAGCGAATCGAGCTGTCCGAAGTCGAAAACCACCTTACCCCGTATTTCCCGGCCGGCACGACCGTCGTGGTCGAAAAAGTGACATCCCAGCCCACGGTCCGGTCACGTCTCTGTGCGTTTGTCTGTTTCCGAGAAAGGGAGAAGCAGATGTCGGGAGATAAAGAGACTCCAATTTTTGCTGGACCTGACGAAGAATTTTTGAGAATCTCCCGCGCAGCAACAACTCGTCTGTCCAAGTGCTTACCCCAGTACATGGTGCCCCAGATCTTCATTTCTTTGAATCGAGTCCCACGCACCTCCTCAGAGAAGATTAACCGCTCTCTGCTTTGCGAATTGGCGAGTACTGCCAACAGCAGCAACTTGGATGGTTCCACTGTCCACAATGAAGAGAGCCGTGCCCCCTCCAACGAGACAGAGAAGAAACTTGCCGGAATTTGGGCAGAGCTGCTGGGTATAGAAGTGGACAGGATTGGCACTGGCAACAGCTTCTTCCAGATCGGGGGTGACTCCATCCTGGCTATGAAGCTGGCAGCGGAGACAAGGCGTCATGGAATGAATTTGACAGTTCCGTTTATTTTCACTCATCCAGTTCTGTCAGAAATGGTGTCATATATGGAGACGACGAGTTCAAGCTCCATTTCCCATGCAGTTACCAGTCCATTTGTGCTATTGGAAGCCAACACTAAAGACTCCATAGTGAGCGCAGCCGCGCAGCAGTGCTCGGTAACATCAGACCAGATTGAGGATATTTATCCATGTACGCCATTGCAGGAAGGCCTGACGTCCCTTTCAATGAGAGCACCTGGGGCTTTCATTGGCTCCTTCAGTTATAGCCTCCCGGTGGACATCGATATCACGCGCTTCCGTAAAGCCTGGCAGGTCGTCGCTGAATCCAATCCTATTATGAGAACACGAATTGTCCAGTATGGTGCTCTGTTTCAAAGCATTGTCCACGACGAGTTGCCCTGGATGGTTGTTGGCGATATCACCGAGTACAATCACTCTTTGTCGCAGCGGGAGATGCAGCTGGGTCAGCCTCTCATCTTCCTTGCGCATGGTCAACAACGCCCGGGAAACCGGACCGATTTCCTTCTGGTCATCCATCACGTCCTCTATGATGGGTGGTCTTTGCAGTTGATCTTGGATCAAGTTCACCAGGCGTATAATGGTCACTCACTCACCACTCGACCCTTCAATGGATTTATTGAGTATCTCGTACACTCGAATGGTAAAGCTTCGCAGGACTACTGGACTAATCAGCTGGCGGATTTCTCTGGCTCTACATTCCCCTCGCTGCCCTCGTCCGACTATCGGCCTGTTGCAGACTCGACAATATCTGAGACGATCCCCCTACAATCCCCTGCTGGAATAACAAAGGCCACCTTACTCCAGCTGGCATGGTCTCTGGTGCTGTCCCGCTACACGGATACAAGTGACGTGGTGTTTGGCCTCACCCTTTCCGGACGGCAAGCTAGTGTGCCGGAAATTGAATCTGTAACCGGTCCGACAATCACCACTGTGCCTCTGCGCGTCCGCTTACAAGGTAAAAATTCTATCATTAGTGAGCTGCGCAGACTTCAGGAACAGCTGGCAGTGATGGTCCTCTTTGAGCAGCTAGGTCTTCAGAACATTCGTCGACTGGGGGCAGATGCTGCAGCAGCGTGCGAATTTCAAAATCTATTGTTGATCCAGCCGGCCCCCGATGCATCCAGAGATGAGTTTTTGTTGCCCATCGACCAGCGAGGTAGTGCAGAAGCCTTTAGCGCGTATGCACTTGAGGTCACTTGTGAAACCTCCGCCAATGAGACCACCATCATGTTGGACTTTGATCCCAGAGTCATTCAACAGCAACAAGCCCAACGAATGCTCTCTTGCTATACACACATCGTGTGGCAGATGCAGCAGGATCCAAACAAGAAGATCTCCGATCTTGACTACGTTAACCCCAGTGCTCAAAGAGAGATCATGCAGTGGAATGCAGCGCTTCCCCAGGCAGTAGACCAATTTGTTCATGAGGGCATTCACCAGCAATGCATCGAGACTCCTGATGCACCAGCTGTTTGCGCCTGGGATGGTGGGTTCACATATCGAGAGTTGGACCATATCTCGTCGATCCTTGCTGAGCATGTCCATAACCTTGGGATTGGTCCTGAAGTTTTCGTTCCCATACTCTCGGAGAAGTCCTGTTGGGTGGCTATGGCTATTTTGGGTGTTATCAAGGCTGGAGGGGCTTTAATCCTTCTTGATCCCAAGATCCCATTCGAGCGTCTGCGGACAATCTGTCAAGATGTCAATGCTCAAACCATTGTCTCTTCCTGCAGTTGTGCCAATCTGGCCTCCCAACTTACCACGACGGTGGTCACTGTTGGGCCTGACACCATCCCTCAAGGCCACAACAATACCCAAATCACTTTGTCAAGCCAATTTACACCTCAAAACGCTTTGTACGCGATTTTTACATCTGGATCGACGGGCAAACCCAAAGGAATCGTCATTGATCACTCTGCATTCTACACTAGCTGTCGTGCACAGCAAAGACCCTTGTATCTCGACCCAACAGCCCGGACACTGCAGTTTGCGTCACACATGTTTGATGTGAGCGTCGCAGACTACCTGTGGACGTTCCTCACTGGCGGTTGTTTATGTGTTCCATCCGAGGAAAGTCTCAAGAACAACTTGCCGGGCGTGGTTAATGACCTCCAAGTCAACAGGATTGACATGACTCCCTCCCTGGCGCGGGTCTACCGGCCGGATGATATGCCAACCATCAAAACAATCCTCCTGGGCGGCGAGCCCATGTCACAAGTCGACGTGCAAATGTGGGCAGGCAGAGTACGTCTGGTCAACGGCTATGGGCCATCTGAATGCTCGGTCTGTTGCGTCTTGGCCGACGTGTTCGCGGATTCCGATCCTTCTAACATCGGGCACACGTACGGGGCTGTTTCCTGGATCGTTGACAGGGATAATCACAATCGCTTGGCTCCTCCGGGTGCCCCTGGCGAGTTGTTATTGGAGGGACCCATCCTCGCGCGAGGGTACCTGGGCGAACCGGAGAAAACAGCGGCTGCGTTCATCGACTCGCCTCCACCGTGGCTGCAGGGTTTGAGATCCGGGTTACGGCTCTATAAGACCGGTGATCTGGTGCAGTATGCAGTTGATGGGACTATTCGATACATTGGACGCAAAGACACGCAGGTGAAGATTCGCGGGCAGCGAGTCGAGCTTGGGGAGATTGAGCATCAGATTCGTCAGGCGAGCTTATCCAGGGCTCGTGATGTTGTCGTCGACCTGGTTACCACCTCTGGACATGGGCAGACGGGGCCAATGCTGGTGGCGTTTTTCTGCGATGATCCGACAACAGTCATTCGTGGGGAGACAAGTGTGCCGCTGTTTGTTCCTAGAAGCCCAGAACTGCAAACAGAGTCACAGGTCATTGTACAGGCCCTGGTCAAACGGCTGCCGTCTTACATGATACCAAGTGCTTTCATTCCACTAGCCTACATGCCTGTCTCACCCAACGGCAAAACAGACCGCCGCTTCGTACATGAGCAAGCAGCAGCACTCTCAAGGCAAGAGCTGGAACAGTATCTCACGCGTCATGTTACTCAACGCCCCCCAAGGACAATGTCAGAACAAATCCTCCGGTCAGTCCTGAGTGAGGTACTTGGTCTCGACGCCGGCAAGGTGGGCATGGACGACGATTTCTTTCAGCTCGGAGGCGACTCTATTATTGCCATTCGACTGGTGTCTCGTGCGCGTGAGTCGGGCTTTTCCTTCCGAGTGACGGATGTCTTTGAGAACCCAAAGCTGTCTGCCCTGGCCTTATTGCGGGCAGGTGATGGCATGGTAGAGGGAACTATAGAGACTGCCCTATTAAGCGCGCATTATCTCGGCTTCACAGGAAGAGACGACATGATCGATACGATTCTATCTTCCGAGCCATATCCTTTTTCCAAAGACAACGTTCGTGAAATTTTGCCTTTAACTGAGGCAGCACACTGCATGTTGCTTCAGGCGCCAGAATACTGGGCAGTCAACCTTGAAGGCACGATTGATTACAACCGGCTTCAGTGGGCCTGCACAGAGCTAGTCCAGCGCCATGAGATTCTGCGGACCGTTTTCGTGCAATTACAGGATCAATTCGTTCAAGTGATTCTCAATCATATTGACACTTACATCCAGCATCAAGGGTTCGTGGCCAACTTGGATGGATTTGTAGACCAGCATCGCCGTGAAGACCACATCTCCACCCCAACCATTGGCACGCCCGTGACGCGCTTTACGTTTGTCCAAGGACCACAGGAAAAGCAAATCCTTGTGTTGCGCCTTAGTCATGCACAGTTTGACGGGTACTGCTTACAGACCCTCTGGCATGACTTGAAGTGTTTGTATGAAGGTGCCAGCTTGCCCCCAGCGGCAAAGCCGGTCTCACATATCCAGCAGTGGATCATGGCTCAACAACAAGAGGAGGCCTTCAGTTTCTGGAAAGATGTTCTAGATGGGTCGACGGTAACAAGAATTGACAACTCAACGTTTGGTGACATCAACAACGGGGGCCATTCGCCCAACAGTCGAGATACCCATCTCATCACTGCCACTCATCGCGCTTGCCTCGGGACCGCCATTCCACATTCCATTACACCGGCCACGCTATCCAAGGCTGCATGGGCTTTTCTCCTCGCGCGACTCACAGGCGATGACAGCGTGGTGTTCGTGCATAACTCAAATGGCCGCAACTACGCCTCCCCAGACGCCCACCACGTCGTCGGTATGTGTATCAACTTCGTCCCTGTTAGGGTCCCGCTGAACCCGGCCTGGACGGCATTCGACCTCATGCAGTTTGTCCAGCAGCAATATCGCAACAGTCTGCCTTATGAGCTTCTGGATTTCCATCGGATTGTGGAACACGCAACCCCCTGGCCCAAGGGGACTAAACATCAGAGCAACTTGTTGCACCAAAACCTCGACCCAGACACGCCATTTCCCTTCGGCAAAGCGCAAGCGCTGGTGACTTGCTCATACGAGTGGCCGGACCCTCCGGATGAGATTTTGGTCGAGTCGCTGCCGCTGCCGGACGGCGATTTACAACTGACCATGGATGTATCGACTATGGTCCTAAGTCAAAGGAATGCAGACACTGTGGTTGAGAAACTTTGTCGCTTGATCACGGCCTTTTCGAACTCTCCATATGAGCCTCTTTCCCGACTCAGGGGTATTGTCTAAGGACATTATGCTGTTTGTTTCGCGATCCCAATGCGGGAAGATGTAATCTAGAGATAATTATTTGTTTTTTTTTTCAAATGTACAACAATTCATTACGGACATTTTTGTAAGAACTTATTACCTCCTATATTCTCTGTGTAATGGACACCATCATATTACCTATGCGCTATACTCATGGAATATCTTGCTTCACCTGCCCACGCCCTAAAAAGCGAAATGACAAGATGGAAAGAATGAGAAGAACAATCGCTAAATCGGCCAGGTCAGTTAATTATATCGTTACCGAGGATTAGATTCCCATACCAAATATTAAATTCATGTAATAGTAACCAATAGCCTGGTGAAGCGACCCAGATACAATCGGTCCTAGCATCATGGCCACGGCAGCAGCAACATCAGAAATGGAATACGCCCGGGAGTAGCCTCCATGCAGGCCAAAGACGTTGGGATTCTCTTCTAAATGTTCTTTAACTACCGCTGTTGCACAGTCAGTAAGCGGGTGATGGATGGCCGAGAGCAGGGGAAAAAAAAAAAAAAAAAAAAAAAAAAACAAAAGGGCGAGTTATGATAAGGAAACTCACCGGTTAGCTCCAAAGTGCCCACACCAGACAGAAAAGGCGACACGGCACCTATGCCAAACATGCATGCAATGTAGATGGGGAGTCCTCTGGTATCTGCGCTGGCCCATGGGAAATGTCTATCTCCGGGCACGCCTAGCAGCCATAGAAGTGGTACTAGGGCCACCAGGCCAAGCGTGGCCGGGATTCGAATGCCAACTCGATCACGGAGCCAGCCGGATAACGGACCGATAAATATACAAGGGATTTCTAGACAGAAAAACATCATGCCTGTATTGGAGGGGCCCCAGCCGAAGACATCGCGCACATGAAGGGGAAGCGTGGCGTCGAAGCTAGTCATGACAGATGAAGATGTAGTCGAAATGAGCAGGGCCGTCACAACGCGACCGTTCGTGAGCATGGCGCGATAGAAGGCAGGGGAGGTCGAGAGGTCGATATCATTTTTCGCCTGCTCGGGTACGGTGCTGGATGTGGACTGATACCCGGTCACGGTTGCGGCGTTGTCCTCAGCGAGAAGGGCCCTATCCTCTGAAATATCCCCATTCGGGTTGGTCGCTGTCGAGGCCCCCGAAGACGAGGGCGCAGATTTGAATTTTTGCGGGTTTTCAATCATCACCAAACGCGCGATCATGTCCAAACCCAGAACGACGAACAGCGGCGCCCATGTGCCCCAATATCCCACGGCCCGCAGGAGCAGCCCGGACACCATCGGACCTAAAATAATACCGGAAGTAACAAAGGAATTGACCACACCCATTATCTTTCCCATATGCTCCTCGCCTACCGCGTCCGCGATTGTGGCCAGGCCGATAATCCAGATCGCAGATCCAGAGATACCTTGTAAGACACGCCCGAGGAACAACATCCAGAGAGATGGGGCGCAGGCGACCAGAACAGTACCGACCAAACATCCCGAGAGCGAATACAAAAGGGGAGTTTTACGGTTCGGGGACTGGTCTGCGAAATGACCGATAATGGGGCCTGTGACTATAGCGACGGCGCCGTGAATGGCCAAGATGGCGGATGTGAGAGGTTGAGTATGTGACGGGTCGACCTGCAGGCGATCCTCCAGCATGTAGCTGAGGATAGGAACGATGAAGCCATATAGAAAGGTATCTGTATTGCAGAAAGACTTAGCATTTCGTTGTTATTCTCGGCGGGAACATTGGGGCACACCGGAAAACAGGGCGATTATGATGCAAGCAACAATGAAGGACTTGGACGAGCGCCATTGAAATCCCCAAGGTATATCAGCCATTCTTTTCGTTTTTCCGATGGCTTCCACCGTCTGAGAGAGAGAGTTGAAGCCATCCATGACAGGGGAAGAAAGCATTACAGCTCAGCTCAGCTCAGCTCAGCTGAACCGACCCATAATAGACGCGCCCGCGAATAAGAATCTCCATACCGTGAAGAAGTGGCTACACTGACAACTATGTTAATGCTTCTTTTCGGGCATGAAAATTTCAGTTTTTGGGTATTGTCAGGGTACAGGGTCAGGTATACAGACAGGCGGGTATATATTAGGAATTGACGAATATGATAAGCTACAGGTCAGGCTATCTACAGGTACATCGACAAGACGCAGCTCGGAGAGCTGCACAGCATCGGCGTTGGCGTGGAGAGATCTTGATGAAAGTTAACGTGGATTAATACCAGTGTAAGGCTGAGTTTCAACTGTTCAAGGACACTGTGCGTCTCTTTGATATATATCCAGATTTTCTGAATAACCTGGCCGCTGTTAAAGCTGTCACTGATGGATTCAATTTTCTTTGCTGTGTGACGGCTCAATGTCACGGAGCTCAGCTAGGATAATGGAACATCAACTCATGAGTTCTACCTAGGTAGCTATAGACGAGAATAATCAACATGAGGAAGGAAGAAAGGAGGTAGCGCCATATTTATCAACAAGGCAAACAACTGCACCTCACGTGATACCCGGCCAACGTGACCATAAAAAACACCTTTTTCCTGTAGATAGATTCCTTTCTTTCTTTTCTCTCCAGGTTTGATGTTCTCGTCGATGGCTGCACTAGTTTAGATAGGAATATCAATTCGTTATTATCTACTGGTCCGAGCCCGTGACATGCTGTTATGTGTGATAGTATATACTTTATTGACTTGAATGAAGGCATCTGACTCTTGGAAGAAAGTCTCCCAACATGATGTCACTTGTAGATTTAGCTGTACTGTATATATTTGGATATTTTGCGGATCGTGTCGCAGTCTAGATATCTGTAGTTGCTAGCTATCATGACTGCGGGAGACCAGAACGTCGTCGTTTCAACCTCTACCGGATATTTGTTAGGATGTTGTGTAGAGATGGAAGTAAGTGGCGAAACCCAAGGATCTCCAGTCATCAGAACTAAGAGCTAGTTATAAAGTATCCGCAATGCTTTAGCCATGGTTACTGGTCCAAAGTCGAGAAGCTGGTTTTGAGACATGCGAATCCCTGTCTGACAGGGTAATGAGAGGTTTCGATGACTTGACCAAACTTGCGTGAAAGGTAAAGTTCGTGTTCTATTGATATAGTTCCTTATGATCGCTAACATGTTACCAAGGAAATGGGTATTTTCCTGTCCCGTCTTTATCTAAAAGATGCCTGGCAATTGCAGCAGCTTGGTGCCATAACACCTATAGGACTGACGAACACTCGACTCCATGGGCTCCTACTTGTACAGATAAAGCTCCAGACACACATAACGCACTATTTGCCCAGTCCCGTCTGTATCCAGAATAATTCTACCTTCGCATTCTCCCTATCACTGTAGTATAACCCTACCTTGACCGACATGACCAATTGTTCCAAGCTTCGTATGTCAAAATACCCGACTATCCTAACCCAATTTGGCCAACTACGATCTAAGGACCTGCGCTGGTTTGTGCCATGACAATGACGCTCTACTCCGTATATAGAATGCTACGGCCGAGTCTCATCGCCATAACCAGCGCCGCGGCGCTAGCCGACTGGTGCGGAGATGCCAAGCAAGAAGGCGAACTGAAACGAGAACTAGTGAGACAGGATCCGGGGAACAGGTGTTTTATATGCGCCGGTCTGATGTGAATAGGCATGTTTCTGCATTAGCGGGCGTACTGGTATCTTCTCAAAAGTAGAGCAACATACAAACCCCGACTTCAAATAATTGTTTCGGCCGGTATTTGGGCGTCGGATACTGTGATGTGTTGACTTTCGGATACTGTCGATTCTTCGGATGTACTTTTTCCATTGCCCCGGGTCCGACAAGTGCATTGCTATGCATTGGTGTGCGGTACGTGCATTGGATGAATAGGCGTTATTGAGATCGACGGCTTTACAAATTGTCTTGGAGCTTATTTTTGTTGTACGACAATACGGTGACCTCGCAGTACGTAGTAGAGGATGCCCTGCCATACATAGCATCTAACATGGCTCTGCTTTGAATGGCACTGAAGCAAATGTCATGCTAAGGGCATTAAGGGCATTGCTTCACAGTCACTTGGCGTCTAGACAAGTCTAGACGCCATGGAACTGCTCTCTGACGATGTCGATGGTCTACTCCGTACTAAATCTGTACTCCACGGAGGACACGGAGTACGCCGAATGGTCGATGATCCACAAGGCCCAGACGAATAAAACCGAATCTTCCAAAATTCTGAACGTTACGTTTCTCGACTGCCAAGAAGCGGGATTGTCGTCTACTGACTGTATTCGTACTCTTGCAGAAACTTCGCGATGACTGTTCGGGGATTGATCCCAAAACGTCCAAGGGGACAGAGTTTATATGCGAACGCGGAGATTGCACCCTGTCGGTTCCTGGAAACGTCAGGTGTAGGAAACTCTTTTTTGTGCTCCGTAGTCGCACCGTGGTCGTGTTTGTACGGAGTACTGAGTACTTGGATAACCACGGGTAGTCACTACTACAGGCTTGTACATAGTAACTAGTAGTAAGCAGTCCGTTCGTCGATCTAGTACGGAGAGGGCAACACATGAATCATGGATCCCTGAGCGTCGCCACTGCTCATGCGTCATGATGTGCAGAATGGTGTCCCTTGGGCCAAGTCCCTCGGTCGTCTTGGGAGGTCGCCTGACAGCTGTCAGCGTCAAGGAGCATTGACACCAACATAGCTGGCAACCAACCTTGCAGCTATCGGCCGGGAGCACGGTGTACTCCATACCATGGAGTATACGGGACAATAAAATTGAATCATTCGAGGCCGTTACTCCATCCAGTCATTTTGGGTTGTTCCTTTCAACCGATAATGTGCACTAGCATTTAAGTGCACGTTGTGGTGCGATGATCATTGGTTGGATGGGGAAGTGCAGAAGTGATCCCTGATCGTTCGTCTCCAGCTGGACTTGATATCATGGTACTGACAATGATGTGCAGGAATTGTTGACACGAGTCATGCAACGAAGTCATTACAGAGATGTGAATAGAGCACAGGCGTCGAGCCCCTGAAGATCTCCCAGTCCAAGATGGCCCGGACGGTTCAAAATGTGGTATGAACAATGCTATGCCATGGCACAATCACACGCGACGGAGAAAAAAGATCTTGTCATCCTAGATATTTGGAACTGACTAGCGGAAGATAATAGCGACGGAGGGTCTTGGTATTGCTTGATTTGCTTGCCACGGCGCTGACTCGGGGAGAAGATCTCTTGGAATTCTTGGTAATAATGCTTTTCTTCATGACAGAGTATTATGTACGAGAAATAGGTAAGTCTTAACGGGGCGTGTATCATTATTGAGTAGGGAGTACTCTGTAGAGGAAAAAGGTTGCGATCACGGGACTTTCAACCTCAACCACATCTTCTAACGCATATTACCACTACTATTACTACTACTACTATTACTACTACAGAATACAGATATCTTCTTCGCTTTTTACTTTTTCATCCTAATCCATGGAAATCCCCCCTTGCCCCATCTGGGGATCTCTTGGAAATAATTTAACTGCCTTTTCGGTTTTCCCCCGACTGGGAAGATCCACTACACCATCATCCCCTGCCCCTCTCGGGCTCCTCTCTCCACGAGGCCGAAGATCGTGCTGAGCAATCAATTGCGTGCGGAATATGTACCGGATGGAGTACCAATCGACTGGATCCGCAGTTCATTGTTCACCGATGCATCGTTTTGCCATCCCGGCGCTATGGTTGTCTCTTATTCTAAAATTGTTAGGAAGAACCTCGGGGCTACACAAATCGGTCCCTCTGCACAAAACATGAGGATTCGACACTCCGGCATGCAACTCGGCCAGAATGAGGCGGATTGATCCGCCGGGGGCTGCTAGGGAGTTGCGACGGGCAAAAGTCTATCAGCACTACTAGATCAGTTGGGGCCACGAAATCGGCTGGGGTGGACCACCATGCTCGTCCAATGAATCGCGGGCCATATCGAGGCCCATACTACTGTTACTATACGCCTCTACCCACCAGACCACCGCTTCCTGGTCTTTTTTTATGGGAATTTTTCATGCACAGATCGCTGATGTATGCTGGGCGTGGTTTCACTCCAGTTTTGAGCCTGTTAAGATTCCCCCCGGAAGCAACACGAGGAAAACAATTTCACTATTGTTGCATATTATTCGGCGGCGCAGCTGGCTGAAAAAAAGGCTACAGACTATGGATTTTCTACCGGTTGGCCTCTAAACTCTGTGCCTCCTTCCCTAAATCTTCAAAATCTTAATTTGATTTAGCCAATCTCTTGGAGAACCATGGATCTTTCCCCAAACCTAGCTCTATGTGGTCCCAAACCCATATGTACACACACTTTCCCCCCTTTCTCAAACCGAAATGACATCTGAGAGCTTTTTTATTTTATGTATTTTAATGTTTTTACTGAAGATTCTGTTCTAGAAACTTGGGTTTTTTTTTTTTTTTTTTTTTTTTTGATCTACTCTCCTTGACTCAAAGCCCAGCACTATTTTACCTCTGCATCCCCCTTCCTGTCGCTCTACGCGACTGGAATTTTTCAAGATCCGTTCGCTCGTTTGAATAATTACCTGACGCCCAAAGGAGATGAGATATGGCTGCACTCTTGCGGGCAATAAACTTGATTTCGCGTGAGGAAAATGCCTTGCAACCGCACCAGCTCATGGCTCGCGGTGACCACGAGGTCGAGCTGCTGGGGAGCGACAAGGCTGGTTTCATTGCTATGGGTACCCTTGCCCTGATTTCGTGGATTTCGTCGTTCGGTCTACTGTCTTTCCTTACCTACCGATTCATTTTCTGGCAACAATACTATAAACGTCCCCTCGCCGAAAACCAATACGTCGTCCTGATTTACAACCTTCTTTTGGTCGATCTTCAGCAAGCCACAGCGTTCTTGATCTGTCTTCACTGGGTTACCAGAGGCTCCGTCAACTTCCCTAGTGCGGCCTGTGTTTTGCAAGGATGGTGGATTCAAGTTGCAGACCCTGGAAGTGGTCTTTTCGTCTTGGCCATTGCCATCCACACAGCTGACGTTGTGTTGCGTGGTCGACAACTGCCCTTCAAAGGTTTCGTCGCTTGTGTCTGTGGACTGTGGGCGTTCATCGTTATGCTTGGTTTGATTCCCGTTGGCATGTTCACTTCGGAAACTTTTGTCGTCTCCGAAGCTGGATGGGTAGGTTTCCTCTCGGATTTTTTCGCTGTTTTTGTGTACTAATAACCTGGCAGTGCTGGCTAAGTCAAGATTACGAAACCGAACGTCTCTGGGTTCATTATCTCTGGATTTTCATTTCAGAATTCGGAACGGTCGTGCTGTACGGTTTCCTATTCATCTACCTCCGTCGCCGAATGAAGCAGGCCTCGATGCTGCGCCAACAACACCAAGACAACCTGAAGCGTCTGAACCGTGTCGTTGTATACATGGTTATTTACCCGTTTGTGTACGTGGTCTTGTCTCTTCCGCTCGCCGCTGGCCGTATGGCCACAGCACGACACGTCGCCCCCAGCAAAACGTACTTCGCCGTCGCCGGTTCCCTGATGGCCCTTTCGGGATTCGTGGATGTGGCAGTGTATACTTTGACCCGTCGCCACTTGCTGATCGAAACCGACTCGAGTGGCAACGACAACGCCTACGTCGACACGAAAGGATTCCAGACGCATATCAGTACGACTGGCGGGAAGGAGAAGAAGTTCCGTGTCGGAAACAAGATGCGCCGTGGTTTGCAGACCGTGGAGAGTGCCAACGATACTGTCAACGACGACCGGGACGACTCAACCGAAGACATTATGCGCAAGGGCGATATGGAAATGGGCAACCTTGCCCACGGTGGTGTGTACCAGGAGACCACCATTGAGATTTCGTCCGAACCCGTGGAGCCAGCAGACCAGTTGAAGCAGCAGCAACAGCATCAACTTCCTCACCTTGAATAATCTCTCAGCTCTCGCTATCTCTCAGTCTCCATTACGTTCCTTATACCCAATTACTTACTTTCTTTCTTTCCTTTTTTTTTTTTTTTTTTTTTTGCTTGGTTCAAGCAGTACCAAGCACGATGTATCTGTTTTGTAAGAAAATCGAATGTCCATTTCGATACGTTGTGAGGTTTCTTTCTACTCCATACCCTTTTCTTGTTTCCTTACTTTCTCTCTCTACGGCTTTCTCACTCTTCTCTGTATTTTGCTTTCATGTGTTATGATGATGGGTTCACAATCCGTTGAGCGGCGCAGAAATGTATATAATGTATGTACCAGCAGTCCTCGGCAGCTCAGCTCGATCCTTTCTGCTTCTCTCGCTGTACTTTCCTAATGTTTAATTTCGTTCCAACTTCCTCCTTCCACTGTAGACCTACCTGCCTTACCATAAACATAGACATGTCTTACCGGCGACTCCGCCAGCCAAGCCAAGCCCGTCTCGTAGTCGGCCGAATCCTTGACTAGCTAAAATCCGGGTCCGCACACGGGACCCGATCTCTTGGGCGGTGGCTCTGGTTCCATTCGATACAAGCAAGCCTTTTCCGATCGACACAACAGAAGCTTACTTCAGCGCTGACCGTGGGTTGGGCTATTGTGTGTGTGTATCTCGGTTACATGCTTTTTTCGCTTGCTGTGTGTGCTCTGCTCCACTAAGCAATCGATCGGTCGGTCCCTGAACGGACCGGGGAACTGGTGTTCTGTAAATAGACGAGATGAGCTTTTCCGCGGGTATGTATCTCTGATTTACTGACACCTACAGAGTACAGTACTCCGTACACATACTTTCCCGGTGTCAGCCACAAAACCGAATAACCCCATCCCATCCGCGCATCCGAAAACGCACAGAATCTTCCACACATCCCCCTATCCCGTATTTAGTATAGCCCATCTGCAAATAATCCCCTAGTCCCACATATTATTGGCTGTATGCTTGCCCCATGTTAATTTATTTTAGATATTTTTTTTCTCGCTCGGGGGATTTCCGAATAGAGTTATCTAGGCTAGCCGTTTTAGGGTTAAGCATATGATTATGAATCTGGTGCTGAGCCATGGGACTGGTGTGGACTGGTTTGGACGGGGTTGCTGTGATGGGTATGTGCTGTCGCATGGGTAGTAGATATATATAGATGGTGTACTGTGGGTTCTGTATATATTGCACTCTCCTATTCCGAGTATGAGTGCGAACTGGATCGCATGATATTCTGTGTACTCCGTACCGAGGTCGGTGGTAGGTTCAAATAGTTTGATAAATGACCCGTTCTAGTGCCAATTCTGTGCCGTTGGGATGGGGTGCGAAGGGTGAACATCTCTGAGGCCATACAGAGCCAATGAGTGCATATCAGGATCTACATAGTACATACGGAGTACAGTGCCGAGTGGAATTCCGTGCTGCGAACCCGTTGCGGAGTATGTACTCCAACAAATCTGCGCTGAGTTCGATGGCACGCCAATAACCCAACCCATTATTCATTATGTATCATGTCATGTCATGTCATGTCTATTGCAATTGCCACGCGATCTCTGCCACAGAACGACTCGAAATGCAATCTATTACCCAATATACCTTCCAAACCTCATAAAATCCCCATCAACCCTTAGTCTCTTCATATCCTCATCCCTCAAACAAATCGCAGCCGTAATCTCCCCATCAGGTGTTTTCGGCATCAAATACATAAGACTCTCAAATGGATCAAACCGCGGCCTGCGCACTGCTTCAGGACCACTCACCCCCAGACCAAAATCAAGATCATAACAACCCACCCTCGCCCACGAACTAAGCATCATATCCGTCGAGAGATCCAAACCCGCAGAGAATGAAAAGATAGTCTTATCAGCCGAGCGAGCTAGGAACGTCGCCAGCGCTCGCGAATCATGCCCCAGTGTCGATGTGTTAGGATCTACAGCCGTGCGCAGCCACGAGGCTATCACGCCCAATGGCTCGTGAACTAGCGACTGAAGCGCGCTGGTGTGATATGTCATGTTTTGGATCAGACCTGGGTATGTTTGGGGGATGTTTAGGAAGCGGCGGACGTCGACTGCGCGGGCGAAGGTTGAGTGTGTGTCGGGGTTGAGGCGGGGGAGGCGCGCGCGGGCGACGGATTGCCAGATTAGTGCTGTTAGGGCGTCGTCGGTGGATATGTAGCCTGAGGGGAGTGTCGCGGTAGTGAGGGACTTGAGCTCAGCTAGTGAACTGGGTTGGAAGGAGAAATAGGCCCATGTACTCTTTGCTGGTGGTGCTGGGGGTATTGGGGGGAGTTTGATGATTTGATGGGACAGCTCTGGGCCTGGTTCGTAGGAGAAGTCTAGTAATGGGATGATATCGTGACGGGATAGATTTCCCGTTGACACTTCCTCAGCTGTAAATGGTTCGTTTCGACAAGCCTTCGACAGGAGACGGATAATCTGGCCCTGACCCGTCATATCCATCGCGCCATGCTCAGCAACCAAACTAAGCAACAGCCCACCAGTGATGAAATTCGCTTGCACAAGAAACACAGGAAACTCGTCAAAGGTTCCAGGAAACGGGAGTGTCCTGCAGGGACAGATGATCTCTTCATCGAGCATGCTCATAGGGAACTCGGCTTGTCTGAGACCGTTCATTGTCGGTATTGAGGGGTCATTTCGGAGGTCTTTCACGACTAGACGGGGGATTTTCTCCAGTGGTTTTATCTTGAAGACGCCTGTGTTGTCTTCGCTAGTGCCTTCGTTGACAACTTGGCCGGCTATCCATGGGAAACTTGCTGTCAATCGTTCGAGGCCGTTGGTTAATGTGTTGATGATGGCTGAGTCGGAGGCATTGTCAGGCATTGAGAAGCAGAGACATATTTGCGTGTAGATCTTCAAGAACGGCTGTTGACCGAGGATATCCAAAGTCACATCAACTTCGCCGGCCGGTCCCTGCATCCTGGCACAATATGGGATGGTAGTCATTGAACTTCCAAAAGAGGAAAAATAGAGACACAAGCGGAGTTGGCGGTGGATTTCTGCCGCATATATATTTTACAGTCAAGTATTGACCAACACGAAATGCCTTTATCTCTTAGAGTACAATTGCGAATCTAATCTAATTATCATGGGTATCCTGATGTTCACGCACACTAGCCTGTTCCATCTTGCGGGGAAGCAAGTGTTCCTGCGTCTTCTGGTCCACCTGCTTCTGCAGCCGCTCCTGTTCACTGCCCATGCCCTCGCCACTTTCCAAGATCTCCTTTGCCGACTTATCTCCAGTTTCAGCCTCAACTTCACGCTCGTTCTTACGGCGCTGCTCTTCTTCCCATTGGTCCTGGGCTGCCAATGCTGCCTCTCCTCGGGACGCCTCGTAGAAGTCGATGCCTTGCAATCCAACGACGTTGAGGAGTCTTCCGAGAAGGTATTGATAACGCAGATGGCCGCTAATCACTGAGCTCGCATCCAAGTTCTCAACTCCCGGAAGACCCTCGACAGGCTGGAGACCTGCAACGCCAAACTGGAGACTGCTGGTCCGATAAAGCAGAGCGAGCACGCTGTCATTTTCAGAGTATACGTTGACTAGTCTTCCGCTGACGACGCTGCGCATCCGGCGCCAGTGTTCTGTGTTGGATGGCGTTGGTGAGCCCATGAGAATGACAGACTCCACAAGACCATACGCGCGCCTTTTCGCTAGCGTCTGAAGACAGGAGAAGATCACCCGAGACCCTAACGAGTATCCGATCAGATTGACCGGTCGCTCACCCTGCACTTTGTTGATCAGTGCATCCGCAAGAACCACGCCGGCTTTGTCTGATCGTGCCTTGGCCACACTAAAGGGATTGTCAGCCACGCTCGCGACCTTGGCAAGGCCCATTGGCAGCATAACAGCGCTCATGATCGACGCGAAGATCGTCTTGGACAGAACCTCGCGACCGGCGAAGGTCCATGCAGCACTGGTGACCAACGCACTCATGGCATTGCCAAGCCTGAGCAAAGTCTCCAATTCCCAACGGAGAGCAAACACCTCTGACTCGGAGCCGACAACCCGCCACGGGACAACAAGATCGGCAGCATCCTCTGCCCAACCAGTGATGCCAATGGTAACTCGAAGACGGTGATCTTCCTGGGCAGCTTCCTTTTCGTTTTCTGACCTCCGTCGAGGACCACGAAGAGGTATAAAGGCAAAGTCTTCCACTTCACGTGCGTACTTGTCCATCATACGCCCAGTCATCCGACCTCCGTATGCACCAAAGAGACCGCCGACAATAACTCCACTGCCAGCGAGCGCACCAAGGTATCCTGCAACGGCAGTAGCACCAAGCCCCAAACCTCCCATAACGGTACCCAATCCAGCTGCCACGAGCGGTGCAGCAAGCCCGCCGGTGACACCAATTAGAACAGCACCAGCAACAGAGGCTATTCCAACCTTCACCTTCCTTGCCACGTCATTCTTCTTGGCTTGTTCTTCGGATTCTGCGTTCGAAGGTTGCTTCAATGCCATGTCTAAAAGGCCTCGTGCGACTTTGGTTTCATTGTCGTTTAGAAGTTTCACATCCAAGCCCAAACTGGATGCAACGCGTAGCATCAGGACCCGGGACAGGCCGTTGTAGTGCTCAAGACTAAGCACCAGCAGCAGAAGTGAATGAAGAATCAGAAGTTTCTTGGCCTTGGGAAGGTCGACAAGTGGAGTATCCGTAGGAGGATAGATTTTGCGTAATTTATCCAAAGACCGCTCATTTACTTCGACTGGCACATCCTGCGACTCGAGATCTTGCGAGTCTGAGCCACCCTCTTCTTCCGAACCCTCATAATCATGGTTGACCACTTCCCCTACCCGAAGAAGCAGCGAGTCCCTCCAATCGTCGAAGAACGAAAGCGCACTAGCTGCAGCCTCTTTGATTTCGGTGCTGCTAGATTCAGCAAACCATGGTTTCTCATCACCATATTTTGGCTCATCGGCAGGTGGGGACGCGGAACTGGGAGTGGTTTTTTCGTTGCCTGCCCCTTGCGCTGGTTGATCGATCGGAGGACTTTTGCTATCCGACGCTTGTGTCTGGAAATTCCGCTGGATCCCATTTCGCATGTCCTTGGCGATCAGAGCAACGAGTATCGTCAAATCCCCGCGTTGGGATCGGTCCAAGATGGTCGTCAGATCCTGGCCGCGGTCGGTCGCCGGGGCTGGAGCATCGTCGTCTGAAGGTCCCAGCCCGAATTTGCTGCCATGTTTTTCTTTGAAGTTCTTAAACATAATGCGACATGAATGAATTGGTGATGGAAAGAGTGATAGAGGAAGACAAGGCTGAATCGGAAAGAGAGGAAAAGAAACTATTGGTCTGTGAGGTGGTTAGTTATGAGGTCACCGGCTGACTCAGCGCCTAGAAAAGGCTGGGCATTCCGCAAGACAGAAGAGAAACAGGACTGTTATGGTTCACTGCCGGATGCATTCAGACGATACCAACTAGCCAGGGTCTCACTGGCCATCACTGTCCTTGCTGGTCTCGACGACAAAGAAGTGGCCTTTCGTCTTGGACGCATAACCAAACGCATTCCCATCCCATGCATTCCCATCCGGACGTTCATTTCGTTCAGTCCTCGTGCGCTGTATCTTCTTCCTGCGTCCAAAGACCTGTTCCTTCGAGAGCGCCTCCTTCAATTTGTCCAGTCCAATGGTGTTCTCTTTCATTGCCCCCGGGCTTTCGTCGCGGATACTCTGTAGAGGCGCAATGCCTGTAGCATCCACGCGCTGGATTTCCTTCACAAAATGGATTTGCGATTCGAGGGTCTTGAGCATTGCGGCTTCTTCTTCCTGGCTGGCGGGGAGTGGAAGGGCAGAGAGACGGAGGAGGTGATGGAGCTGCTTTGGCGTGACGGACGGGGAGGATTCTTTGGCTGCGGAGTCTGGAAGTAGAGATCGGACGGACCAGGTCGGTTTCGCCAGGATAGAATCGATATCCTGCTCCGAAGAAGAATAAGATCGAAGCGTATTCAGTCGGAACAGTCGAGACCTTGGTCCCGCGAGTCGGGAAGTGCTGCGGAGTGCGAACATTGTAGCTTTTGAGCAACGGAGTAGAATAAACCAAATACAATCTATGCACAAGATAGGACCAAACTGTCAATTGCAGGAAAGCCGTCTATTGCAGAAAAGAAGACAATATCGAAACACTGCGGGGAGCAAAACAACGACAGCAGAGGCAGCTTTTTGCCTACACCGCCTTCACGCCGAATCTGGCATCATAACGTCGGGCTGGCCACCATCAACGCTCGTCATCATCATCTCCGATCAAGCAGATTTCTATTAAACGAAAACGAATTCCGCATTTCTCCTTCTCGCATTCGGTGGAAGACGCAGACTATCCACCATGGCCGCCCAAGATCCCCGTGTCCTGCTGCAAAAGGTAATCTCTCCTCTTCATCCACCCCGCGCGGTATTATCGATATCGATAACTGACACCTGCGCGCATCCAGGCAGAGAAAACATTGCACAGCGCCTCGAGCGGATTTAGTTTCTTCGGTGGACGGACAGAGAAGTACGAAAATGCAGCGGATTTGTATACACAGGCCGCAAATGCGTTCCGAATCCAGAAGCTGAGTACGGTTCCCGGAGACCAAATAGAAGTCGTGGAGATTAACATCGGATGGTTCAGATAAGGAGGCCGGTTTGGCGTTTGAAAAGGCCGCTTCGATCCAGGCAGACAACATCAACGAACCAGACGATGCCGCAAACTCCCTGAACGAGGCTTTCAAGGTGTATCGCAAATCGGACCCCGAAGATGGCGCCCGCGTTCTCTCCAGTGCTATCAACCACTACGTATTAAAAGGAAACCTGCGCCGGGCCGCTACGCAGCAACAACACTTGGCTGAGGTTTACGAAGTGGAGCTGGGAGATATGAAGAGAGCTGTCGAGGCTTATGAGAAGGCTGCGGAATGGTTTGATGGGGACAATGCTGAAGCGTAAGTCAGGTGCTTGGGTCTTCTTTGAACTGGTACTGACAGGATGGCAGTCTTGCGAACAAACATTACTTGAAGGTTGCTGATCTGGCCGCCCTCGAGGGCGACTACTACAAGTCCATCGAGCACTACGAGAGAATCGGCCGGTCATCGATTAACAACAGCTTGATGAAATGGTCTGTCAAGGACTACTTCCTGAAGGCTGGTATCTGCCATCTTGCTACGAATGTATGCTTTCACCCTGTCATGTTACTGAAATACATGTTAACTTGCCCAGGACCTGGTCGCAACGAACCGTGCCCTCGAGTCCTACCGCGACATCGACACCACGTTTGCCTCTCAGAGAGAACACCAGCTTCTTGTCGACTTGGTGCAAGCCATCGAGCAGGGTGACCAGGAAGCATTCGCGGACAAGCTCTTCCAGTATGACCAACTCAGCAAGCTGGACAAGTGGAAGACCACTTTACTACTGCGGGTTAAGAACAATATCGAGGAGGCGACGGAGGATTTCTCGTAGATTTAGTTAGTTGCTTTATGTTCACGATTCTATTCCCTTTTTTTTCTGGATTAGCCTTGATTTGATGATTGTTACGTGATGCCCTGGTTTATCGTAGTATGCCACTTTTTCTGGATTCAAACTACAGTATAGAAAAGCGCAATCATGCTCGTAAACCATTCATCTATATACTCAAATGCTTTTTTGCCCTAAACTATCCAGGACATCTAGATTGATCATCAAATCATGTCACACTGTGGTATCATATCATCCATCACAGAACCAACAAAGAAAATAAAACCGAAAAAAACCGCCAATCAAAATTCACCTTGCCTAATAGACAACATCCTCCAAAGCCTTCGCCTTGCGCGGGAAAACCCGCTTATACAAACTAATCCCAATCGAATCCTGCGGATTAAGCTTCGCATCAAACGTCGCCTTAAAGTACCCATGCGTACCCAGACTCTCCTTGATAAACCCACTCCGT